GTTTACAGACGCAAAAAGAATGCTTTGTGCGGTCTACGATTTCTCCCCATGTGGGTTCTGGGGCCAAAATTTGGCGGAAACAAAATTAGACCCATTGCCCTAAAAAGTCATGTTGGGAAAGGCAACTAGTTGTGGTTGTTTCCTTTGAAGTCGGAGTGCATTTGCTAGAGAGAGGCAAGGAACCAACAGTCTGCATAAGCCAGATTTGTAAAATGGATGTGAATGCAAAAACTCAGATTCTGCAACAAGACCAAAGTCCAGAAGTGGACAGACAACCAGAACTATCTGTTGGAGTTTACAGTCGGGGTACATGAAGAAGAAATAAAGGATTTCCTGTCAGCTCTTTCAGTACAAGGCAATACGTTATTGAATTCACAATACAGGTATCCATTGTTATAAACATTTCATTCCAAGAAATCACTGCATAACAGGAAGTATTTAGTGAATCAATTTTAACATGCATTACTTAAGGATAGATTTCGTTTAAAAGGGAGAAAATAAGATTTCAGTCTTTGCAGTGAAGTGCTACTTTCCTAACTGTAAAATGACATAAAAATGTTTGGTAAATACGCTAAAAACCACCACCTTACATGATGACTGCAAAATTACTATAAGTACAATATCCTCACAGCTGTTTCCAATGCATATTTTAACACAAGTATTAAAAAAAAGGTTCTTTATAAGCAGGATACCTGTACATGGTATCATCATCATCATTAGGTGCCTTGCTGACTGGCGTGGGCGATCATGCCTCTCCATAATCTTCGATCTCCTGCAGCATGTATCAGTTCGTGTGCTGACACATCTCCATGCCATGCAACAAGACTGTCAAGCGTCTTCTCCCGTTGTCTTCCTCTATCCCTCCTTCCACAGATCTTTCCAGTGGTCACAACATGTTCTATTTTCCCTCTTCTCATAACATGGCCGAAAAATAATGACTGTCTCCTTCTGATGTCTGTGATAAGTTGTCTTCGGGCTCCAGCTTCTTTCAAAACCTCTTGTTTGGGGGGATAATATTAAACATAAATCCCACACCATGTCAACAACTTTGGAGAGTGCTGTGGGGACAATGCTAACCTAATCCTAGAAAGAGGAAATAGAAATTTAAAACTTTATTTTATTGCAGGGCAGAGCAGGCACATAGCCTTGGTTAGCAGCTGGTCAAGGAGGGAAGCTTTGAAAAGCATCCTTGGTTTAAACATATTGATGTTACCTTTCCTTTGGCGTAAATAAGGCAGTCTTAGATAGGGATTTACAAGGGCAACACATGGTTTCTTTAACACTATCCAGCCTTGGTACTGTTAAGAAGGAACATTGCTGGCCTTAATTAATGCAAATCGATCTTTCTAGTCACACTCCCTATCACCAAGGATTGTGATTCCAATGCCTACTGATGGTACAATTTAACACTAATGTCTGAAAAGACTAAAATGGTCCAGCCAACAAATGGTGACACCTTTTAACTCTTTTCATACTAAGAAACTGATGATCCAATAATTTAAATCTATCTTAACTGTCCTCTAGTACTGAAAGAGTTGAGAGATACATGTGACCCATATCATTTTTTTTTCATTTATGTTATTGTTAGTTTCCAATAATATCAATAATGTTGGTTTTTCGTGGTTATTAATCATATCTTATAGTTATTGGTTAGACTTAGTAATGTGACTGTCTGTTCATTGAGTTATATGTCACATCTTGTAATGCAAGTATTTTTGTTTTGTTGTAATTAACAGTAAACATTAAGTGGGGCAAAGAGAAGTTTGAAGATGTTGAGTGCAACACAGATGAACCCCCAGAAGTGTTCAAAGCACAATTGTTTGCCTTGTCGGGTGTTCATCCAGCTCGACAGAAAGTCATGGTGACTGGATCAATCTTGAAGGTAACTATGGAACTAAACATCATTGCTGTTTTGAATTGTCTGGAACTCAGCGCGTGTAGAATTATGAAAAATGTTCTGCCTTACACCCACTCCACTGGTGGACAAACTGGAGAGAGGTCAACGACATTTTGTTGACAGTTGCTTTTTTCTTCTGCCTTTACCTCCCCCTCCCCTTCCCTTGCCCCCAACCTTTCAGCGGAGCATAAGCCCTGAGCCAACTCACACCAAGTAATTCTTTTCTTTGCTATTGTAGGAAGTTCATACCATGTTGTTTCCGATCTTTTTAACTTCACTTCGTGGTTCCCTTCTCCAAGCTAAACAGAGAAACACACTTTATTAACAATGCCTACAGTTTATAGTCATGTAGCAGGTTTCCTTTGCAGAACATCGCGCTCATCACGGTTCATGCTGGACTCTCCCTGCCCCTCTCTGCTGATACCGTGCCTGTTCTGTGCTAAAGTGGAAAGACAGCACAGGATCAAGTATCCTGGATATGATTCATTTATGCACAAAATGTCAGGAAAACTCAACGACGTGTTGCCGCCATATGTGCACACTTTATTTCACGACGACGATCGGGTACACACAAACCTGCACATAGAATAATGCAAGTGAAGTAATCGTACATATCACTGGTTAATCATGAAATGAATGTCCCACACTTCACTCACACAAACTGGTATAGTGGTGCTCTCTCGGACAGCCTGCACTAGCTGCTGCTACACGCTGAGCTGACCGCTACAGTGTCTAAGTCTCTAGCTACCCTCACTTCAGCACTCGCTGTAAGGTTCAACAGGTTACATCTCCTACTCAAAATGACCTCCATTGCTGTATGCTTAGCAGACACTGTAACATCGGGTGACTGGAAAACTTCACAATGCTGAAACACCAGAATGTGCACGCAGCACATCAGCCTGGTTGAAGGAATCATGATGACCAGCAGAACTCCCAGGTCTGAGTCCTTTTCTGCACTCAGCTGTCACCAAAATCTTTACTGTCTTGTTTCAGGGGTGATCACGACCACCCACACATGTGACTTCATCCAAGACAGCTTCTTCTAGAAGTAGTCCAGCTCTCTAGGCCTAACTCTGACCACTGGACTTTTCTTCCTTCAACTGCACCTTCGACTGTCCTCTAGACCAGTCTCTCGCGAGTGCTTCCGCCTCGAATGCTTTCAACTCAACTGTTCGAGCTCTCTCACTCAACTGAACTCAACCTCAGTAAATACAGATGCCTGCCCCTTCTGAGCTCTTCCATGTTCAAGACGCTCCTGTTATGCATGATTCTCCTTCACTGAGAAACCCCTTTTTTGTGTGCGACTGCTGCTATCCACGTACTAAGCATGATAATTCACCCCGCACTGGGCTGACACATCATGAACTCACTGGTGCTTCCGGCTCTAAGTCAACACCGACTTATAATATTGACTGAGGCCAAACTGACATCTCCTGGCTATGAACACAGCCCCAAATATTGACTCAGGTCACTGGACATTCCAGTGGATTCGCGAATTCACAGGTTGCACCACATTGTTCTAACCAATGTTGCAACCCTCCCCTGAATCTACATGCAACAGTGCCTTCTGCTATTACTTTTTACAATCCGCCATGGCACTTGGTGTGGTAAAAATATTCCAGTTTTTAAAACAAGAAGCTGTTTACTAGCTAATCTTCTTTTCAGGGCGGGAGTCACCGTGGCCGAGCGGCTAGACGCTCATCGCGGATCGGAAGGTCGTGGGTTCGCTCCCTGGCGGAGCCTGACTTTTTTTTTTAAATGACCTTTTCTCTCAGGTCGACCCAGCCTTGAGTGGGTACCGGGTGCAGTCCCGGGAAAGTAAAGGCGGCTGGCGTGATGCTGACCACATCACACATCTTGTGCCGATTGGTCTATAAAAATATAGGTCTAGCCCTACATGCCCTATACGCCTAAAGGCGTGGAAAAGGGTCCTTTACTTTTTTTTTAACTATTACTTCCTTTCAGGATGTCGTCGTTTCTTTTCTTAGTGCATGGTATTCTGAAAATCTTTCTATAGCATTTCAGCTGGAAAACTTATATTTTCTTCCTAAAGGACTTCTTTAATGGTTGTTACCCAACCAATTTAATCACCGTCAAAAAAGAAGGCATTGGTAAGCTGTGCTTTTGTTTGTTTTAAAGATGTTAAATTAACCATGATTAGACAAAGAGATAATTTCCTGAATGGCTTAGCCAGATAGTTTGAGCAGGACAAGAACTTGATCTAATATGGGCTCAATCTGGCCCATGCAGACCTAGCAAGTGGTCCATTGCCAGCTGAATTGTATTAATGATCTTTCTATGCTAGGGCTTGAGCCTCTGGCCTGGGACAATTTTCTAAATTTTTGTTCATGAGCAAACTTAGTTGAATCTATATTAAATGTATGTGTTATTGTATTAATTCGATATTTAATGGTAGATCTACAAACTGTTCATGAAAAAAAACATGTCCTTGGCTTTCTGTCTTATAAACAGTTTAAAAAAATTAATATTTATTATGAGACTGAAAATGGTATTCGTATAACAAATTACTACCCCTTAAAACTTCTCTCCCCCCCCCCCCCCAACCCCCAACCCCCACCTCTCCTCTTATTTCCCTGTTGAATTTTTGTCTCTAAATTGGCCTTGGTTCACAGCCTTCTTCTTCTTCTTCTTCTCTTCCACCTTGTACCTCATCAAAGTGTCGCGGATGGATGTAATGTATGTTGATAAGCTCTGTCAAGAACACCATTAAGACTGATGTTCCTTTCTGTAAGGCTGTTCTTAATGCCATCACTCCATCTTCTCCGAGGTCTTCCACGCGCTCTATACCTGTTGTAACGTTTGAGTGTGGCTCGCTGTGGCGGATAGTACCAGGGTATTCTTGTTAGGTGTCCAAACCACTCCATTTGTTGTTCTTTGATGAGACCAAGCCTAATGTGTGATCATTTTATGCCCAATGCCCCGCTGGCTTAAAAAAAGGGTTGTTTACTACTTTACTCAAACCATTAAAAGATTTTTGTGTAATCTTTGTTTTCTCTTTGATTTATTAAAGAGTTATGCAGCTTGCTAATGTAATTGTTGTTATTCTTTCTTTGCTAATTGTGACTGCCTTCTGTTGTTTTAGGATGATGAATGGGGTCCTGCAGCAAACAAGTTAAAAGACGTGAGTATATGGTCCACACATGTTTTATTTTCAGCCTTTCCTTATGCTTTTGTCTTTGATCCTTTCAGAACCATAGGACATACTTCATCAGTACTACAGCAGTCCGATTTTGGAGATTTTCAACTCAGCACTTTTTTTTTTTTTCAACTTTGAGAACAGGCAGTCTTTGTGACTGGTCACCTAGGTAGCGTTTGTTAAACTCATTTTGATTTGGACTTTGTTTTTTTTGTTTTTTCAAAAATAAAAAATCAATAAAAATAAGATCAATAATTCAACAAACACTACCTAGGTGACCGGTCGTTAAAACCAGCCTGCCTCAACTGCATGCCACTTTTTGAATTCAGGGCATATTTTAAACCTTGACGCCACATTTTAAATTCTTCATACGTCATCCAGTGGGAGAGTGTTTCTTGAAGCTATGATTCCTTACCTCCACCCTGATCTTTGTAAACAGACATGGTAGTGACCTTGCAGTTGTTCAGTAAAATTTGGCAGTTGCTTTTGAGTGTGGTTGAATTTGTACCTTATTTATAAAGGATTCACTTATTTGCTTTATTTATTTAACTGTTACTTTATTTAGTATGCACCTGGCAAGATACAGCAAAATATATCAGGCAATAAGTTGTGCTATATTGTTTGTGTCTTTTTTATTCAAATTTACAATGGGGAAATATTGCTTTGAAAGTGATAAGCAACCACAATTCAGCAAGTTTAGATATGTGCTAAATCAGATTGGTTAACCGAACAAGAAGACTAGTTTGCAAAAATTGGGAGTCATGCAAGATGCACTTATGGAAAAAATAAAACTCAGATCAAGGCCGCCCATTGGAACACTTCCCGTTCAGGATGCAGTCCTTAAGACCCAGTCTACCTCACATGAAAGAAACCAACTCTACGGCCATATGTTCAAGAAATTCAAGATTAAGGATTCAGAACTGTGCCCAGTTGAACAGGCACCACAGAATACTGAACATTAGCTACATACATGCTCTTTATATGCATCCCAGGTTCAGCAGGTTGGCATTCCACTGAAAACCAAGCTGTATGGAACAGTGGAAGGCATGTGTTGCACCAAAGACTTCATAGAAGCCTGCTGCCTTCTCATCTAAAACCACAAACAGGGAGAATGAAAAGTAGAAAAAGATACTTTTAGTGGTTGAGTTGTATTTTAACTTTACAAAAATTAACACTTGTTTGTAATGTTTACTTTAGGGAGCGATGCTACTGATGATGGGAACAGCTGAAGCTTTACCGCAAGAGCCGGCAGAGAAGCCTTTGTTCGTGGAGGATATGAGCGAGCAACAGTTGGCGTCCGCTGTAAGTTTCATGTTTTGAACAAAATAATTGCTGGATATTACCTATGTGGTTAAAACGTCAAGTAAAAAACTCTTTCTGCATTCACCCTTCAAAGGGCAGTTGGCGTGTTGTGGTTTACAGCTAGTCTACAATTTCTGTGCCTTTCAGCCTAACTCATTCTTTCTTCTTCTTCTTCCTCTTGTGTCAGAAAAACTTATATCAGGAATCCAGTAGCTTTAATAAAAGCTATAGTGCACACCAAATCTCCCTCAGCTTTGTCCTGAGGTTGAACATGTCAGATTGCCACTCTGTTAGCATTGTACAGTTTACACTGTTGATGTACATGTTGTAGGGATAATCTCCATATTTCCTACACTGAAAATGTTGACAGAGTCTTGAGAGGCGATGAAGCAAGTCTTGGGAAGAAAATTTGTTGTGGGTATCTAGCCACTTTGTTGGATACTGGTTTTCATTAATGTTTTAGTCTCCTGGTGATTACGGCAAAGCCACATTTAGTCACCTTTAACAGTATGTTTGTTAAGGACAGTTGGTCTACTACCTTTCCCCAAAGGAAAAATGCAAGTCTAGATGCACGCAGGGGAAATAAGAGAAGCAAAGTATAGCATCATGTAACCTACTATGTGGTCATAAAAGGCTTTGATTAGTGATTCGCTGGATATGGACTTCCTCTTCTTATAGTTCATGTTATGTGGTGTTTCTAGTCATGTTTATCCACAACTTTTGAAACAGATGGTCTTTCATGCTATAATGTCAAACTGTCAAACTTCTCTCTCAGTCTACCTTTTCCCTCTGACTGACGTTCTCACCGTCATGATATACTTCAGTTTTCTCTTCTCTTGGCTGCCTCATCCTGCAGAAAAGTTGTGCTGCAAAATTCAACCCAGCTTATGTAGGTGTTAGTTGGCTTAGGGGCTTCTGTCAGCCTTTATCTTAAAGTTTCTCTTGGACATCATTTTCTCAGTTCATTTGTTTCCCATTTCACTGACTGTTTGGGGATTCTCTGTTTGCTGCTACTCTTCTTTGTCGTATAACTTTGTGTTAATGGTTGTCCCGGCATTTCTTGAATGCAGTCAGTAGGGTTGGTGTAGTTTTGTTTTCTGGCCTGATAGAGAAGTATTATCAGTGTAGGTACTATTTCGCAGAGTTTTTCCCTTCCCCAAGCTCAGAAACCAACAGTTTTGCAAGATTGTGTTTTTAATTTCACATCTTCTTTTGGTTCTCCCTCCCATTGGTTTTTGGACGAGAAGGCTACATGCCTCTATGAAGGCTGTTGTGAGATGCATGTCCTCCACTGATCCATACAGCTCGATTTCCACTGGAATACTCATTGATCAGACCTGGGATCTCCCTTCTGCATGTAGACAGCATGTCTGTCTTACATCTTCACTAGCCTGTTCAAATGAGTCCGAGATCTTGAATTTACTGTAAATATGGCTGTGGAGGGGCATCTGCAGGATGTAATTAAGTCATGATCCAGAATGGTCAGGGCTAGGCAAATATTCATTGTTTCTTTCATAGGTTTTATGTAGTCTGTGGTCAGCAGGAAAAAAAATCACAAATGAAGCAGTTCCCCTTAAATAAGCGATACCTGATTAGAGATATTGAACAAAGAAATTAAATATTGGAAAGCAAGTAAAAAAAACTTGAAAACTGTGTGATACCTGGTAAGCCCAATATAAAAAGAGCAAAGGGAAGAGAGAGAAATAATTGGATGACTTGGCAAGGATAAGAATACTAACTGCATTAGTGATTCTGCTGTTTATGTAGTAAGATGATGAACCAATACCATCTATGATTGTAGCCCTGGCACATGATGATAGCCAGCAGAGTCCACCCTAGTTCAAGAGAGAGTTTGTGGACACCTTTCTGTCTTTCTTAGATAATAATATTATCCTGTGCTATTAGGGGGCTTGCGAATCACAGCCCATGGTGATGAGCAATTAAGGTCATGGATGAAGTTTCTCTTCTCCATATCTCATAGCCAGGGCAGTATTGTGGAGACCATACATTGCCTGTGCTGCATGATCCCTCACTCGGCCTGCCTTGTTTACTGTAAAGGAAAGATAACACTAATACTTTTGGGATAACAAAATTTCCGCAGGTGCTGCCAAATCAGAAGAGGGGTTACCTGTCTGCCTGCCTGTCAGAGCTTTCCTCCAAGACCAGCTATCAACCAAGGGGAAGGGCCTGATCTGCCCTGTCATAACATTATAATAAATTTACTATCCTTCCGAATGCACTTTTCCACCTGAAGCCATTGGCATAAGTGCGATATCAGGTTTTGTATATACCACCCAACTTTTGACCCCAGCAGAGAACAGGTATTACTGACTTATGTTACAGGGTAGCTCAGTCACATCTGACAAAGACCCGACAGACACTACAAAGTGTGAGAGTGGCATAATTTACATTTGAATTGAATCTTTGTCTTTTCCTTTTATTTCTGGTAGATGGATGTTCCAGCTGGTTTGACAAATCTGGGTAACACCTGCTACATGAATGCCACAGTTCAGTGCCTCCGTGCCGTGCCCGAGCTGAAGAATGCACTTAAGCAGTGAGTATTTTAGTCTTGTTGTGGTTCAGCCAAATGTGCTAGTAAGGGGTTATGAGAAGTCTGAGACAATGGTTTCAGAGTTCAACCAGCGGAGCAGTAGCTGTCACTGCACTTGTTTGTGAGGTACTTATCACCACATGGAGTTTTCACACAGGTGCCTCAGAGCCAGTGGGTGTTAGTTTCTCCTTGCTGATGGGCCAGCTATATTTGGATATATGTGGCAAGTTACCCTTACTACAACGGTGTGTCTTTTTATACAGAAATATTTGGATTCAGTATGTTCTACTAACTGCAGGTGCCTAATTAGGATGTTCTCTGCTACAGTGCAGATTGTTTAAAATGTCATTTACAGATATACAGCTAATTGTGATTATCAGGAATGGGCCATCTATGGACAGGAGAGACATCGTCAGTGCCATATAAGGGAGTAAATTCTGTGAGGCTTTCAGTTTTGAGGAAAATGTATTTTCACTGAATAGACTGCATACCCTGGGTGTACCATTTGGAGCAGTGAGTCAGGAAAACTATGCAGGAGGCACCTGTCATTACATCAGCCAGAACAGAATAGGAGTTTTAAGCCTAAAAGCACTTGGAGACATACTCAGGAGGAGATCAGAGCACTTATGGTCATGCCCGATGACCTTTAAATAAACAGTGAACAGGTTATTGTGAAAACAGTCTGCTAATGCTAAGTTGTAAGTATGTGATTCTATGTTAAGAAATCTCTGGTGAATGTAAACTGTGTTCCAGTTGGAGTGCATCAGCCTGAGGGGCTAGGAGCCAACAGTTTGCATGAAGAGAAGCCAGATCTTTAAAATGAATGTGAACACAAAACCCAAGTTCTGGAACAAGGTCAAAGTCCAGAAATGGATGAATAGCCATAACTTTCCGTCATTGTTTAAAGCCATGGAACACTAAAAAGAAGTAGTCTTAGTCTGCAAGGATACAGTATATTTTGAGGCCTAACACTTCACACCGCACAGCTAGATTCACCATGGGGTTCTCTTTCTTCTTCTTCACTTCACACCATACAGCAAGATTCACCATGGGGTTCTCTTTCTTCTTCTTCACTTCACACCATACAGCAAGATTCACCATGGGGTTCTCTTTCTTCTTCTTCACTTCACACCACACACAAGATTCACCATCGGGTTCTCTTTCTTTCTCCACTTCACACCACACAGCAAGATTCACCATGGGGGTTCTCTTTCTTCTTTTTCACTTCACACCACACAGCAAGATTCACTATGGGGTTCTCTTTCTTCTTCTTCACTTCACACCACACAGCTAGATTCACCATGGGGGTTCTTTTTCTTCTTCTTCACTTCACACCACACAGCAAGATTCACCATGAGGTTCTCTTCTTCTCCACTTCACACCACACAGCAAGATTCACCATGGGGTTCTCTTTCTTCTTCTTCACTTCACACCACACAGCAAGATTCACCATGGGGTTCTCTTTCTCCTTCTCCACTTCACACCACACAGCAAGATTCACCATGGGGTTCTCTTTCTTCTTCTCCACTTCACACCACACAGCAAGATTCACCATGAGGTTCTCTTTCTTCTTTTTCACTTCACACCGCACAGCAAAATTCACCATGGGGTTCTCTTTCTTCTTCTCCACTTCACACCACGCAGCACGATTCACCATGGGGTTCTCTTTCTTCTTCTTCACACCGCACAGCAAGATTCACCATGGGGTTCTCTTTCTCCTTCTCCACTTCACACCGCACAGCAAGATTCACCATGGGGTTCTCTTTCTCCTTCTCCACTTCACACCGCACAGCAAGATTCACCATGGGGTTCTCTTCTTCTTCACTTCACACCACACAGCAAGATTCACCATGGGGTTCTCTTTCTTCTTCTTTACTTCACACCACACAGAAAGATTCACCATGTGGTTCTCTTTCTTCTTCTTCACTTCACACCTCACAGCAAGATTCACCATGTGGTTTTCTTTCTCCTTCTCCACTTCAGACCCCACAGCAAGATTCACCATGGGGTTCTCTTTCTTCTTCTTCACTTCACACCGCACAGCAAGATTCACCATGGGGTTCTCTTTCTTTCTTCACTTCCTCTTTTGCAGCTTCAGGTATTGAGGCAGATATAAGGATATGCTCATTGCTCTTCTGGCCGCCTCAGCGAATGACACATTGTGCTTTTGTAGTTTCTTTCATCTTATCTTTCCATTCTTTTGCCTCATGCTCAGTGTCCCTTTTCTCTTTTGGGTTATACCTTTTTTTGTTGTGGCAGATTATTTTCTCTTGTGACTTTGTTCCTGATTTTTATCTCTTCTGATTACTCCTGCAGTCTTCCTGAGACATTTGATTTCTGTGGTTACTCATTTCTTTTCTGGTTTGTTGTGAGTGACCATGTCTGGCACAGGGTGGTGATGAATAGGCTTTGTATGAGGTATTTCTTTGTGCTACTCGAGATGATCCTTTGCAATGGGGGGGGGGGGGGGGTGGCTGTCCTAATACTTGCATAAAGAGAAGCCATATCTTTAAAATGAATGTGAACACAAAACCCAAGTTCTGGAACAAGGTCAAAGTCCAGAAATGAATAGCCATAACTTTCCGTCATTGTTTAAAGCCATGGAACACTAAAAAGAAGTAGTCTTAGTCTGCAAGGATACAGTATATTTTGAGGCCTAACACTTCACACCGCACAGCAAGATTCACTATGGGGTTCTCTTTCTTCTTCTTCACTTCACACCACACAGCAAGATTCACCATCGGGTTCTCTTTCTTTCTCCACTTCACACCACACAGCAAGATTCACCATGGGGGTTCTCTTTCTTCTTTTTCACTTCACACCACACAGCAAGATTCACTATGGGGTTCTCTTTCTTCTTCTTCACTTCACACCACACAGCAAGATTCACCATGGGGTTCTCTTTCTCCTTCTCCACTTCACACCACACAGCAAGATTCACCATGGGGTTCTCTTCTTCACTTCACACCACACAGCAAGATTCACCATGGGGTTCTCTTTCTTCTTCTTCACTTCACACCACACAGCAAGATTCACCATGGGGTTCTCTTTCTCCTTCTCCACTTCACAACACACAGCAAGATTCACCATGGGGTTCTCTTTCTTCTTCTCCACTTCACACCACACAGCAAGATTCACCATGAGGTTCTCTTTCTTCTTCTCCACTTCACACCACGCAGCACGATTCACCATGGGGTTCTCTTTCTTCTTCTTCACTTCACACCGCACAGCAAGATTCACCATGGGGTTCTCTTTCTCCTTCTCCACTTCACACCGCACAGCAAGATTCACCATGAGGTTCTCTTTCTTCTTCTTCACTTCACACCACACAGCAAGATTCACTATGGGGTTATCTTTCTCATTCTCCACTTCACACCGCACAGCACGATTCACCATGGGGTTCTCTTTCTTCTTCTCCACTTCACACCGCACAGCAAGATTCACCATGGGGTTCTCTTCTTCTTCACTTCACACCACACAGCAAGATTCACCATGGGGTTCTCTTTCTTCTTCTTTACTTCACACCACACAGCAAGATTCACCATGTGGTTCTCTTTCTTCTTCTTCACTTTACACCTCACAGCAAGATTCACCATGTGGTTTTCTTTCTCCTTCTCCACTTCAGACCCCACAGCAAGATTCACCATGGGGTTCTCTTTCTTCTTCTTCACTTCACACCGCACAGCAAGATTCACCATGGGGTTCTCTTTCTTTCTTCACTTCCTCTTTTGCAGCTTCAGGTATTGAGGCAGATATAAGGTTATGCTCATTGCTCTTCTGGCCGCCTCAGCGAATGACACATTGTGCTTTTGTAGTTTCTTTCATCTTATCTTTCCATTCTTTTGCCTCATGCTCAGTGTCCCTTTTCTCTTTTGGGTTATACCTTTTTTTTTTTGTGGCAGATTATTTTCTCTTGTGACTTTGTTCCTGATTTTTATCTCTTCTGATTACTCCTGCAGTCTTCCTGAGACATTTGATTTCTGTGGTTACTCATTTCTTTTCTGGTTTGTTGTGAGTGACCATGTCTGGCACTGGAAGCACAGGGTGGTGATGAATAGGCTTTGTATGAGGTATTTCTTTGTGCTACTCGAGATGATCCTTTGCAATGGGGGGGGGGGGGGGGGGGGGGGGGCTGTCCTAATACTTGTTTTGCCTTACTGTTGGCCTTTGTGCTCCGTCAAGGAGGATAAGGACAAAAGAAGAAGAAGACTTTTGTTTCAACATATTTTATTTGATGGTGTAGCCACCAGGGCTAATCTCACTTGTTTCCTCTGTAGATTTACCGGAGGCCTTACAGTGGCAGGTGCCATTTCTCCAGCTGATTCCATCACAGCAGGTTAGTCTTATGTTTATTATTCATTTGGGTAAGTCTCATTTTTGTAAGATGCTCACTTCAGTTTTTGTTTTTTTTTAACACTCAAGTTATTTTCATTTTTATAATGCTCTGATGTTAGTCTTATTTTTTGGATAGCTGTTTTGTTAGTTTCGTTTTTGTTATGTTGTCATGTTAGTCTCATTTTTATAATGTTCTCATGTTAGTCTTATTTTCATCATACACACACACAAACACATCTAATCATTTCCAGGTGTTGACTCATGATTGTGTGATTAATTGGTTGCAGTAAAGGGGTTGGGTATGTTTCACTGTCTGCATGGCTGCGACTTTGAAGACTACTAGTTTTCCCTTGTGTCACTCTAAAAAGGTTAAATTTAGTTCTGAGATCCACATGGATCCATTATAATTGCATGCACTCGGTTTGAGGGGAGAGGATGGTATTCGCTTCATCCTGATCTGTCAGACAGTTTTAGTCTTTTGTTGTTGTTTTTATTGTCTCTGTTGTTTACAGTTTTATTGGACTAAGCTTGATGAGACCTTCAGCATATTTTGTTATCTTTTCCTTCTGTCTGTCTCTCTACCTGCACTCCCATCCCTTTCTTTCTTTCTTTCTTTCTTTCTTTCTTTCTTTCTTTCTTTCTTTCTTTCTTTCTTTCTTTCTTTCTTTCTTTCTTTCTTTCTTTCTTTCTTTCTTTCTTTCTTTCTTTCTTTCTTTCTTTCTTTCTTTCTTTCTTTCTTTCTTTCTTTCTTTCTGTGTTTGTGTGTGTGTCTCTCTCTCTCTGTGTTACTTCCCTTCCTGTCTTCCTCACTCTCTTTATGTCTCACTTGCCCTCTCTGCCTATATCCTTTTCCCCCTCTCTCTTTCTCCCTCTCACTTTCCTTATCTGTTTCTCCCTCCCTCTCTGCCGGTATAACACAGGAAGCTGGTATGAGACCCTGGAAATTAAAAAAAATTAAACACTGTTGTTGTTTAGGACTTGTGTAAAATAATTTGATGGTGTTTATTCTTACCTTGATCACATCTGATTGTTGTCATTTTTTTGCCAGCTTTACGAGATTTATGTGTGTCCATGGACCGAACATCAGCGCCTATTCCTCCCATCATATTTCTTCAAGTTCTGCACATGGCATTTCCCAGGTTTGCTGAGAAGGGAGAAAATGGTGGTTATCAACAGCAGGTTAGTTCATAAGTGTAGTGTCCTTTCACTTTGGTTGTTGATACCTTTCTGTCTTTCCATACAATAATGTTCTATGTTGTTATATAGTTCCTTTGTGAGTTTAAGGGCCTGTGGCTAGGCTGGGTGGGGGTAGAGGGGCGGTGGTTCTATTCCTTTTTGAGGAAGAATAGACCCACGGCCTCCCACCCAACAAGCACGTTGCAATAGGCGACAAAATAGGGGTTTATTAAAATTGGATGTGTTAAGCCTTAGGGTGCAGATATTGCAGTCTAGCTGTGAACCGCAACACGACATGCCAGTCACTGTTTTAAGGGTGGATGCAGAATAAGAAAGTATTATGCTGTACGGAGGCTTGAGAATCGCAGCCTGTAGTGAAACAGACTACAGTTTTAGCAAAGCCAACAATGTACACACATCAAATGCATTAGACAGCCCTTAGAAGTGCGAACATAAACAGTCCACCACTAGCATTGCAGTTAACTCTTTGAGTCCCAAGGAACGCATCATACGTTCATAGGTTCCTACCTAGAAGCCCAATGAACGCATAGTGCGCCGATTTTATTACTTTCTTTACTACCCCCTGGGCCTGTGATGCTAAACCCCCTTGGACTTAAAGAGTTAATTGTAGATGGAAGCAGCAATCGCCTTGACATTTCTCAAAAGATATCACCAGTTTTGAATCTGCAGTTTACAAAACAGACCACCTTGGGCACCTGTGAAAGGTATTTCAAATGAAATCCACAGCTCACACTGTCACATCATGCATGCACTCACCTCAGTAGCTGGATGAGGGAACTGTATACTTTCATTTCACAGATGGGGAGAATGCAACAGCTAAGTGCAGCCAGAAGTATGTAACCTGGAAAGACTAAAATTCTCGTCTGCCTATATGCCAGACTGGATAGAAGTCTCTATTTCTGGTTATGTTTTAGCATGTCAGATAAATTCACATGACTATTAATTCTCACTTTTAGAAGTGGAGAAAAGAAATAGAGATGTAAAGAAAGAAATAGACATACTGGACAGCATAAAAATTAAAAGTTATGACGAGGTGTTCATATTGATGTAGATCTGTTTATAGCCCAGAAGTAGTAGGATGTTTTTCTGGCCAAATACAACTCTGAGGTCAACCCAGTCTCATAAAAATTGGTATTAGAATAGATCATTTTCATAGTTTTAAGTTTAAACTTTTTTGTTTTATAAATTCCTTTTTCTATTTCGTGTTGTTACTTTCGGGAAGTAGAGGTGATGATCACATGCTTAAACTGGTCGAAACGTAACTACACCTCTTCACATTCATCCCAGAAAAAGATTCTTAAGCAGGGCCTGACCAATGTAGATCATCATTAGGTGCCCTGCCGACTGCTGTGGGCGATCATGCCTCTCCACAATCCACGATCTCCTGCAGCATGTATCAGTTTGTGTGCTGACACACTTCCATGCCATGCAACAAGACTATTAAGAATCTTCTCTCGTTGTCTTCCACTATCCATCCTTCCACAGATCTTTCCAGTGGTCACAACATGTTCCATTTTTCCTCTTCTCATAACCTGACTGAAAAATTATGGCTGTCTCCTTCTGATGTGTAGATAGGATCAGTATAACTTTCAAAGTTAGAGTGCATCTGCCTGAGAGGCAAAAAACCATCAATCAGCACACAAATAAGGCAGATTTATAGAATTGATATGCATACAAAACACAAGTCCTGGAACACGACCAAAGTCCAAAAGTGGACGAACAACTAGAACTTCCCCCAGACTTTACAGCCGGTGAATGCAGAAAAGGGGAAGAAGAAGACTTACTCCCAGAACAGACAATAATTGGCTGAGATTTCCCTTGTGTGATTTGTGGAAGGAGACTAATGTTAATTGCTGCCTTCTGTAGTAACATTTCTTTGTGTACAAATTTTTTTACTATAGAAGACATGATTTTAAGCTAAAATTTATGAGTCAATATATTTACTGAAAATTCTGTGATACATATTGTCTGTGCTGTGCTGAAAAATAAGTTTTGATGCAAGTTTAGTTTTGTGGGCCCTGTAGGATGCAAATGAATGTTGGACAGAGATCGTAAGGAGCCTACAACAAAAGTTGAAACCGGTCACATCTTCACGCAATGGGGAGCCTATGGTATGTTATGCAGTACTGATTTGTACTTAATTATAATATGTACTATCATTTAATAGAGCATTAATGTCAATATTATTTAATTTTACATTAATAACTTTTTAATTCAGTGCAGCCAGGCCACACTGCAAATGAGACTTTTTACAGCAGAACATCTGGGAGGAAGCCTAGAGGAAGACCAAGAAAGACATGGATAAATGATGCAGCCAAAACTTGCAAAAAAAAGATAAACAAATCTATCACCTAAGCTTCCCGAGAAGCGCAAGACAAATACAGAAAACCACGACACGGCTACAGTCTGGTATCAGTGAAATGACAAAAGAAAGACTATAATTCAATATGTTTATTAATATATGTTTCAGCGATGAAGAAAATCTGCTTGTCTGACTGACGATCTTAACTTGGGCTTTCCTGTATGGATTTAGGTGCCCTATATCAGAGAGAAAAAAGTGTAGACCCACTACCATCTAATATGCATGTCGTAAAAGGCGACTAATTGGATGTGTTGGGCCAGACATTGCAGTCTAGATGTAAACTGCTACACATCATGCCAACCACCCATGTAAGCACCCATGTAAAAGGCAACTAAATGGGGTTTTGCTCAAATTGGATGTGTTGGGCCAGATATTGCAGTCTAGCTGTAAACCACTACACAACATCCCAGCCACCCATTTAAGCGCAAATGCAGTAGAAGAGAAACATTGTTGTGAATTTCTGAACAGAAAAGGTGTAGCTTTAGGTTAATCTCTTCTGAGGACTGGTACACAGTTTCTTGTTTCACCATAAATCTAGCTTTGTGGTTGTCTTTAGCTACTGAAACCAACAGTCTGCACATAAATAAGCCAGATCTTTAAAATGGATGTACATGCAAACTTCAAGTTCTGGAACAACCAGAACTTGGAGTGTACAGCTGTGAATGATAAGAAGAACAAGAAAGAATGTTTTTACGCTTATTCTGGGTTGGGAAACATGCCGTAATTTACCATGTACTTCCCACAAAAGGAATAATTATAGATGCATAATACTGAAATGGGTCGTTTTATAACCACAGAGAACTTTGAATATGCCAGGAAATACAATTATGCAGAGAATTCAATGAGAGTAGACCACGAGGCAGACCAAAATGATGGTGGAGGGATACAGGCAGAGATACAAACACTTGAAGTCACCAACTGTAAATAAAAGGCCAGTCACAAAGATGAAAAGCAGCAATTGATATCTGCAACTGTGACTGTAAAGGCTTAGAATGCCAAAGTGGAAGAAGAAGAAATTATGCAGTGTGATGGTTGTGTGTGTGTGTTTTTTTTTTTTTAACTTAAAAAAATATTTTTAGAGGAAGCAATTGTAATGTATTTTTAATTGACATTAAAATAGGAAGGATTACAGTTATTCAGTATTTAAATGTTTGCGACTAACATTTTGTTTTGCTTTTCATAAATTGACTCTATTTGTTTGTGGCATTTATTTATGTATTCAGTTTTTTTTTTTCTTGCCCACAGGAAACTGAATCCAACTCCAACTCTCAGGCTGCTGCAGCATCTGGCTTTATTGATCAGTATTTTGGAGGGGAGTTTGAAACCATGTATCCTTTAACAGCAATGATAAGTTATGTTTATGACTAAAGAAATTTGGGAACAATTAAAAGATTAGAACTAGTAGAACAATAGTACAGTGTATTAAGAATCATCGCTGCATCTGGAACATTCCCATATGTGTTCTATCCCCGTCTTCAGCAGCAAGCAGAGAGTTCCAATCTCAATGGTACCAGTAACAGTTTGTATGTCCATTGCACCTTTTCCTTGTTGAGTGTCAGCCAGATCGCCTGGTCAGTCCTCGCAGCACCATTCTCCTCAGGCTTTGATAATCTTTTGGTCCCTCCACACAGTTCGCTCGTTTCCAAAGGACCGTTATAATGTTGAATTTGTCATTCATCAAATTACCACCAGAATCAGTCACTCTATCTGCCTATTCATTTCGCAAAACACTGACATGCCCTAGAGAAAATATCTATCTGCCTATTCATTTCGTAAAACACTGACATGCCCTGGAGAAAATATCTATCTGCCTATTCATTTTGCAAAACACTGACATGCCCTGGAGAAAATATCTATCTGCCTATTCATTTCGCAAAACACTGACATTCCCTGGAGAAAATATCTATCTGCCTATTCATTTCGCAAAACACTGACATGCCCTGGAGAAAATATATATCTGCCTATTCATTTCCAAAACACTGACATGCCCTGGAGAAAATATCTATCTGCCTATTCATTTCCAAAACACTGACATGCCCTGGAGAAAATATCTATCTGCCTATTCATTTCCAAAACACTGACATGCCCTGGAGAAAATATCTATTTGCCTATTCATTTCCAAAACACTGACATGCCCTGGAGAAAATATCTATCTGCATATTCATTTAGCAAAACACTGACATGCCCTGGAGAAAATATCTATCTGCCTATTCATTTCGCAAAACACTGACATTCCCTGGAGAAAATATCTATCTGCCTATTCATTTCGCAAAACACTGACATTCCCTGGAGAAAATATCTATCTGCCTATTCATTTCGCAAAACACTGACATGCCCTGGAGAAAATATCTATCTGCCCATTCATTTCGCAAAACACTGACATGCCCTGGAGAAAATATCTATTTGCCTATTCATTTCGCAAAACACTGACATGCCCTGGAGAAAATATCTATCTGCCTATTCATTTCGCAAAACACTGACATGCCCTGGAGAAAATATCTATCTGCCTATTCATTTCCAAAACACTGACATGCCCTGGAGAAAATATCTATCTGCCTATTCATTTCCAAAACACTGACATGCCCTGGAGAAAATATCTATCTGCCTATTCATTTCGCAAAACACTGACATTCCCTGGAGAAAATATCTATCTGCCTATTCATTTCGCAAAACACTGACATGCCCTGGAGAAAATATCTTTCTGCCTATTCATTTCGCAAAACACTGACATGCCCTGGAGAAAATATCTATCTGCCTATTCATTTCGCAAAACACTGACATGCCCTGGAGAAAATATCTATCTGCCTGTTCATTTCGCAAAACACTGACATGCCCTGGAGAAAATATCTATCTGCCTATTCATTTCGCAAAACACTGACATGCCCTGGAGAAAATATCTATCTGCCTATTCATTTCCAAAACACTGACATGCCCTGGAGAAAAATATCTATCTGCCTATTCATTTCGCAAAACACACTGACATGCCCTGGAGAAAATATCTATCTGCCTATTCATTTCCAAAACACTGACATGCCCTGGAGAAAATATCTATCTGCCTATTCATTTCGCAAAACACTGACATGCCCTGGAGAAAATATCTATCTGCCTATTCATTTCGCAAAACACTGACATGCCCTGGAGAAAATATCTATCAGCCTATTCATTTCGCAAAACACTGACATGCCCTGGAGAAAATATCTATCTGCCTATTCATTTCGCAAAACACTGACATGCCCTGGAGAAAATATTTATCTGCCTATTCATTTTGCAAAACACTGACATGCCCTGGAGAAAATATCTATCTGCCTATTCATTTCGCAAAACACTGACATGCCCTGGAGAAAATATCTATCTGCCTATTCATTTCGCAAAACACTGACATGCCCTGGAGAAAATATCTATCTGCCTATTCATTTCGCAAAACACTGACATGCCCTGGAGAAAATATCTATCTGCCTATTCATTTCGCAAAAACACTGACATGCCCTGGAGAAAATATCTATCTGCCTATTCATTTCGCAAAAACACTGACATGCCCTGGAGAAAATATCTATCTGCCTATTCATTTCGCAAAACACTGACATGCCCTGGAGAAAATATCTATCTGCCTATTCATTTCGCAAAACACTGACATGCCCTGGAGAAAATAGCTATCTGCCTATTCATTTCGCAAAACACTGACATGCCCTGGAGAAAATAGCTATCTGCCTATTCATTTCGCAAAACACTGACATGCCCTGGAGAAAATATTTATCTGCCTATTCATTTTGCAAAACACTGACATGCTCTGGAGAAAATATCTATCTGCCTATTCATTTCGCAAAACACTGACATGCCCTGGAGAAAATATCTATCTGCCTATTCATTTCGCAAAACACTGACATGCCCTGGAGAAAATATCTATCTGCCTATTCATTTCGCAAAACACTGACATGCCCTGGAGAAAATATCTATCTGCCTATTCATTTCCAAAACACTGACATGCCCTGGAGAAAATATCTATCTGCCTATTCATTTCGCAAAACACTGACATGCCCTGGAGAAAATATCCAAAGGACAGTAAATACTCTGCACCTCTGGAGTAAAGCTTGCTACTCTGCACATAGCATACTTCTCTCCATCTTTCTCGCCATGCTTTGTGAGATAGTTACAATTACTGCCTCCACCTCCATTCTCAAACAAGTTTTTTTTGGTTCATATGCCAGGCTTTGCTGCACTAAGCAAATATTTATTAGTTTTTTGTTGTTGCTATGAACCCCCATGCACTTTTCCTGCCTCTCAGCACAGAGCCACCTGTATAGATAATCACTATAGATATAGATAACTAATTTTTTTAATGAATTTTGTACCTAAAATAGTTTAAAAGTCAAGTACCATTTTTTGTGTCTTTGCCCATCAAGCATATAGTGATAAACCTAGATTTTTAAGACTACTCGGCACTCTATATTGGATGTGGTTCACATCATGAGTGGGTTAAAAAGTTAAATTCCATTGGTTCTGTTTGTATCTCGCATTGGTAATAGGTCCAGATATTAATATATTTACATAAATAACATTTAGGGGGTTTTCTTCTGAACCAAAATGCTTTTTTTTTTTGTTTTTATAAAAAATGTTATGTAACCTGAATGTTAATGTCACGGCATATTTCACATGACATATGTTTTTTTTAGTCCCTGGGAAACTTATATCATTTAATACTACATTTATATTTTTTTTTTAATTGGTTATAGATAACCCAACTCTCTTGAGATTAAATTCAGATAATTCATAATGAAAGATGGAGGGGAGGGGGCTGGTCTTGTTTGCCGTGTGAACGCAAAACCCAAGTTCTAAAACAATATCAACGTCCAGAAGTAAATCAACAACCAGAACTTTCCACCGAAGTTTATAAATGGCGATTGCTTAGAACTTCTTCACCCCAGGTGATCTCTCTGCCAAACCACTACACTCCAGGGTAGAAGAAATCGACTTAGGATGCTTAAACTACTCTCTTCTACTAACTCCTTCCCTTTTCTTGCCCAATATTATTTGGCAGCTTAGTTACTGACCTTCCCATATAAACATTACTAGAGTAGTAATTTCATTGGTCACAGATGACCTTACTATTTTTAGGTAAATTCTAGGTGGTTCATAATTAAAGATGGAGGGTTACTTGTTTGCCAAGGAGTCCTCCCATGAAATCATTTCATGATCGATTTTATTGTCCAGTGTTGTTTCCTTAATTCTTTTGTGAAGTATGAAGTGTAATGAAGCACCAGAGGAAGGAGAAGTTCGCGGAACAGAAAAATTTCTTCAGCTCAGTTGTTTCATTGAGAAAGGTAAAGTGCACTTATTTCATCAGTGTATTTTGGGGTAGCAAATTTTTTTTTTTAAAGTATTCTTCAGTATCTTATATTACATAACACTGGCTTAAAAATCACTAGACTGTGATATCATTGCTGCACTAAGCGATGTCCATTCCGACAGTGTGAACATGCCAAGCATTCTTTATAGTCTTTGTTTTAATTATCTTTTGCTTCGCATACAAAAAAAATTTGTGGGACTTATGGATAATTTGAATGGGCTGAAAATGGCTCATCAGTCAGTCGGATTTATTCATCTGATGTGTTTTGTATTTAATCAGGTGTTACTTTTATTGGACATCTCCATAAACCCTCCCCCCCCCCCCCCCCCCCCCAAGAATAAACACAGTGAAGTAGTAGGTGCATTTGGCTGCATATATTTGTTTAAAATAGGTTTTATTTCTTGAAAATGCCTTTTTTATGAGTAAAACAGAAAGTTATTGTAGCATTTTCCATGTGGGTTCCATGGCCACATTCTGTGGGGGGGGAGACAAACTGCCTCGCTGATAGACATGTCGAACAGAGCAACTAATAAGAGGAGTTTCTTTTGAAACCAGCATGCATATGCCTGAGTGGTGAGGAGCCAACAGTCTGTATATAAATAAGCTACATCTGTAAAAGTGCTGTGCACACAAAACTCAAGACCTGGAGCAAGGCTGAAGTCCAGAAATAAACTAACAACAAGAACTATCCACCAGAGTTTACAGCCAGTAAACATTCAGAAGAATGTAGCAGAAGCATATTGTAAAGTTGAAACATTGAGACAGCTTTAAAAGTTGACCTAGGCTCTTGTGTGGATCCAGCCTATGAATAGGTGCAAGGACATTTTCTGGGATGTGCGGATGGACAAAATATTCTTCTTCTTTGCGTTCGGTTTCGTATGCTCAGATCAGACCATGAGGTGGGTTGCCTCTATGAACTCGCATGTCAGCTGCAGGTCCTGCATGGTTCCCCATAGCTTGCTTTGCACACTTTGCTCTTGAAGCCAGGTTTCTTTTCAAAGCTGCAGGTAGAGTGGGCAGGTCTGCAAAATGTGCTCAGGTGTTTGGGGTCCTTTTTGACAGGCACACTGCGGGGGACTGTACAATCTTTTTTTAATGCATGTGGTAGTTGAGCCTGCAGTGTCCTGTTCGTAGACAGAAAATTGTTGTATTTTGCTTTCTGTTGAGTCTGCTGATGGGGTCTTGTGGATGTTTACTGTTAGTTTGTTCTCTCCACAATCCCTTGTATTTTCCTTTGATAAGTGTTCTGATTTCTGGTAATGACAATGAATGGGTGTTTTGTTTCTCTTTTGTTCCATTTTTTGCAAGTCTGTCTGCTAACTCATTTCCTGGTATGCTGCAGTGAGCCGGGATCCACTGGAGAACAATTGATTGTTTTCTGTGAGTCTGTTTAGCTGACGGGTCCCTATGAGGAGCCTGGAGTACTGACAGGCAGTCACAAAGGAAAACAATTTTGCTGTTTTTAATTTTTCTTTCTCCGAGCACTTTGGCTGAATCAATAATTGCTTGCTGCTCTGCTCTGAAGTTTGTTGAGAGTCTTCCGGAGGCGCATGACGTTTTTACTGTGGTCCCATCTTGCAGCATTATGACCGATCCAGCTCCTCCATTTTTGTCTGCTCCCTCCAATGATCCATCGGTGTAAACGTGTGTCCATTCGGGTTTTGGATAACAGTTGTAGACATGTTCAAGGGTCTTTGCACGCAGTACTAGGTCACACTCTTCAGCCCTTCTGTCTATGCCTGGAATTGTTGCTGTGACTGTATATTTAGGCTGTAGGTCTATGCTGTATGCCTGGATCATTCCCCATGTTGCAGGATCTTTAGAAAGGATGTCACTGTTTTTTGTGTAGTATAATTTTGATAGATGGTGAAAGCTTTGTCTTTTCAGTCGGTTTTTGGTTAAGTTATTTGCTATTCTGTGCATGGGGTTGTTGTTCATGCGTTTAAATTTTTCTGTTAGGGTAAGCACCTGATCTTCCCTTCGAAGGCTCAAGCTCTCGAAGCCACAGGTTGCCTCCAGTTCATTAATTGGTGTGCTTCTCATACCTCCAGTGGTGATTCTGAGACCAGTGTTCTGTATTTTATCCAGTTTGTGTAGGTTTGATTTAGTTGCAGTGGATTATGCTCCCATGCCTTACTCCAGTTTTGTTCGTACGTATCCTGTGTATACTTGTCGTACAGTGTTGGCATCTGCACCCCAGATGCTTGTTCCAATAAGTTTCTTCATAAGTCTGAGCCTCAGGGTAGCTTTCATTTAAGTGTCTTCAATGTGGGGGCCCCATGTTAGCCTTTTGTCAAATTTTACTCCCAAATATGTGGGGTTATCCTCTTTTAGAAGGATGTTGCCTTCTAGGTACAGATCAACTGGTTCTGGCCTTGTGGAAAGAGAGAATAAAGTTGAGACGGTTTTGATCTGGTTTATTGTGACTCCCCAAGAGTCTGTCCATTTCTTAACTGTATTTATAGCTTCCTGCATTCTTGTTTTAGTTGTTCCTATGTGTTCAGCTTGAGTCCATATGGCCAGGTCATCTGCGTGTAGCGCCTTGTGAATGTGAGTCGTTAACTGTTTTGGGAGGTCATTGATGAAAAGAATAAACAGGGTAGGAGATATAACAACTCTCTGGGGGACACCTTCTTGTAACCTGACCAGCTTACTCTTGTGATTTTCCAGTCTGACGCTCGCACAGCGTCTGTAAAGGAAGTCTCTAATCCAGGCAAACACATGCCCTTTTATCCCACAGTGTGCTAGTTTTAGCAAGAGTCTTTTCTTCCAGACCTTATCGAAGGCTTTGGTCAGGTTGAAAGTAGCCAGCAGTTTGTATTTTTTCTGGAAAGCATCTTCAATTTCCTGTGCGAGATAAGAGTTTTGGTCATCAGTGCTTCTGTATCTCCTGAAGCCTGATTGGCTGTCATCCAATATCTTGTTTTTTTTCTAGGAAATTTAGTAACCTGTTTTTCACTAATCTTTCCATGGTCTTTCCACGGCAGCTTAGGAGGCTTATGGGGCGGTAACTGGATTTGTTTTTCCTTGGGCTTTCCTTTCTTGGCTATGGGAACTATTTCTGCCTCCTTCCATTCCTTAGGAAGTAATCCCTGGGCCCAGGATTGATTTATTAGGTCTAAGAGTCGGTGCCTACCAGCTGATCCCAAGTAAACTATCATTTCATTCGTTATTCGATCAGGTCCAGGTGCCTTCCTTTTCTTAAGGTTTCTTATTGCGCATTAAAATTCTTGAGGACTGAAGAGTTTATTCATTATGGACAAAATATAAAAATATGGTGTGTCCCCTACACCATGGTCTAAGGCTAGACGCTCAGCTGCAGATCGGAAGGTTGTGGGTTCGCTCCCTGACGGAGCCAGACTTTTTCAAAAATGACCTTGGCTCCCAGGTCAACCCAGCCTTGAGTGGGAACCAGGTACAGTCCTGCCAAATGGACAAATAACATTAACATATATTTGTTTATAAACTTTTTCAGAGGTCAAGTACATGCACACAGGTTTACAGAGTGTAAGTAGAAATCTTTAATTGTTCTATTTACCTAGGGTTTCCTATGTGATTGGTTTTCTGGACCCCATTTTTGGAGGGAAAAATGAATATACCCTCATCAGGAGTAGCACATCAGGAAGGGAATGAGAATGAGGGAAGAAATGATTGCAAAAATGATGAGAGCTGAGCATCAGAGCAGAAACAGACTAAACAAACGTTGACCACAATGGTCCTGAAATGCCATGCTATAACTGTGGAATACTTTTCTTAACGTGGGCAGGTCTTGCTAGTCACACTCACCATCACCATGGGCTTTGAATCCCATGCCCATGTCACAACCTAGAAGCTCAGCAGCTACACTAAACTATCATTGGCATAGCTTTTAAGTAAAAAATCCTTTTCCGCGCCTTCAGGCATGTTGGGCACATAGGGTTAGACCTATATTTTACAGTCCAATCAGCACTGGTGTGTAGCTTTTGAAGCTGTACAGATATATCAGTCTTCTCTACTCAGTCTAGAAGTCCAGCAGCTACACGAAGCTACCATTGGCATAGCTTTGGAGGCTATGGAGATATATCAGGCTTCTCTGCGGTTCTTTATTAATATCCAACCCCCAGATGACATCACAGGACAGTCCAGCATTTTAGAGGGTGGTAAGACTTTGTTTTCCCGCTTTCTGATGCTTTTATTGAACCCAAAACATTTAGAACTGGCCCTAACCCCAACCTACCTACGTCCCACGAGAGAGTGCAGCCTAGGTCCCACGAATGCATGCAGTCTATCTACCACCCCCTGAAATATTAAGACTGCTTCGTGACCTGTGGATTTCACAGTTAGAGGTAGGATATTAATAAAGCACATTTTCTGCTCACATCCTATAAGCCCAGCAAATGGCTCTACTATCACTGACATAGCTTTTTAGGTTATGGTGATATATCAAGCTTCTCTAATATTTCAAGATTCATCATCAGTAGATGACTAGTTCAAGCATTTTCTAATACTGGCTTTTTGACCAGAGTCCAGAAATGGAGGAACAACCAGAACTTTCTACCTTAAGTTTACAGCCAGTGAACACTAAAACTAGCTTTCCTTTTTCATTAATCACCCCCTTACCCCCCCCCCCTCCCCCCCCCCCCCTCTCCCCCCCCCCCCCCCCCCCCACTCCTGCACACCCCTTTTCTTCTTCCCCTTATCACATTGTAGCTCTCAGTAATATCCAAACTAGTATGTAAAGATAATCATCTCGACTAATACACTGTTTTGATTGTTTTATTTTCAGAGGTTAGAGGAATCAATAACAAAGAATTCTCCCACACTTGGTCGGGATGCTGTTTACACAAAATCTGTAAGTTGCTTTGTAATTTTTGTTCATTTAATTTCTGAAGCATGTTTCCATTAAAAATAAATATGTACATAATCATTTGAACAGTAGTATCCTAGAAGTGAGGTCACACTGAAGACAAATTAACATATCAGTTTGCTTATTTAGGTAGAAGTTTTGACCCCCCCCCCAACAACAACAAAAAACACACACACACACAGAAATAATACTGTGCACTGGAAAGACAACAGCAGCCATTACACACCTGAACAAAGTTTGAAACTCTCAGTTATATAGTTTTAAAGCCAAGTTTCATGTTTTCAGTTTCAGTGGGGTTTTTTTCACTTGTAACATGTGCCAGTGAAAGTTAAACTACTAAAAGTTGAATGTATTTAAAAACAGTTGCCTAAAGAAATTGATGAACATTAAATGGGATAAATTCAAGAAGGGTAAAAAAAAAAAAAGTAAAGGACCCTTTTCCACACCTTAAGGCATATAGGGTTAGACCTATATTTTTATACACCAAACGGCACAAGATGGGTGATGTGGTCAACATCACGCCGGCCGCCTTTACTTCCCGGGACTGCACCCGGTACCCACTCAAGGCTGGGTCAACCTGGGAGTCAAAGAAAGATGCAAAAATAAGGCTGAAATCAGCAGTTATAAGACAAAGATTATAGCTTTGTATTGGGCACATCCTAAAGGAGCACCAGACAGAGAATCACAAAACAGGCACTTAAATGGGAAACAAATGGATTGAGGAGGGAAGGATGTCCAAAAGAAGCTCTTAGAGGAACATTGATGAGACCAAATGGGCTGGACTGGATTCTATTCATGATATTGAAACAGCTGCACAGGATAGTGCAGGATAGACTGCCTAATGCAACAGTTGAGTTCCGTGTTATATTTTTAGCATTGGTCATGTTTAAAATATTTAGAATTTGCAGTAAACTTATACATTGAATGTCTTGCACATCTTCAGATTAAAAAAATCAACCTGGCGCAGAGTAAAAAGTAAAGGTCCCTTTTTCTTTCCACGCCTTTAGGCATATAGGGCATATAGGGTTAGACCTAAATCGGCACAATATGGGTGATGTGGTCAGCATCACGCCGGCCACCTTTACTTCCCGGGACTGTGCCTTGTGCCCACTCCAGGCTAGGTTGACCTGGGAGTTAAGGTCATTTTTGAAAAAAGTCCTGCTCTACCAGGGAGCGAATCCACGACCTTCCGATCTGCACGCCGACTCCCGGTCTTGCGCAGAGTACCAGATACTATTTTTAAAGCATAACTTAAGGGCAGCTGTTGCTTATCCGTGTGTATACCTTTTCATTTCGGCGTTTGTGGTTTGGGTGCTTTGTAATGCCGGGTGCCTGGTTTGATCCCAGCTGTGGCAATTTTTCTTACGGTGGTTTTGACCTTGGTACCGAGAGCTGACCGTTCAGTAGCAGTGGCAAACTACTGAATGTCAAATTTGCCTAGAAAAACCACAACAGCGCAATAGCGCTAGGGTTGGTTCTGCAATGTCCTGTAAAGGATATGCAACTAACTTTACTTTTTCTTGCTTCAAAGATGACTAGCTACACCAAAAACAAAGTTATTCTTGAGCTGAACTGATAAAAAACAATTAAAACCGCTTTTATTATATTATGCTGAGTTCACGACAGAAGCTACAAGTTAGTCAAGGTTCTAACTTCAGTGCAGTGGAAATAATACAGGATGTCTCTCACTACCACTAGCGTAAAACTTGTCAGTACCAACAAAATCTTTTAAGTTTGCACATGCAAAGTAGAAATGCATAAGGCAGCTGACAGATGTGCCATCACTAACGGCCCAACACTAGAATTGCAGCTACAAGTGTAACTATCTAAAGTCTTTGTGTTTTAATATTCTTGATGATGATATAATGACAAGAACTACAGATGTACCCAGGGCTTTTTTGTTTTTTCTAGAAAAGTGCCGGTGCTCACCATAAAGTGTCTCAACAAGGTGCCTGTACACACCACAAAGTGTGTATTACAGTAGCGCAGAAAAAAAATTATGCCTTAAAAAAAGATGCTGGTGTTGCACACTGTGTACCTATAACCACTCCACCCCCCCCCCCCCCCCCAATTCCACCCCACCTCCAGATAGTACATTTATATGTATATATGTTATTATCGTTTGTTCAACAGAGTCGGATTAGTCGGCTTCCTGGGTACTTAACAATTCAGTTTGTAAGGTTCTACTACAAGGAAAAACAGTCTACCAATGCTAAAATTCTGAAGGTACATATTCCCTGTTTGGTCATTTTTTAGTTTATTTTATCATTGTATATTCTGATAGGATAATTTAGGGTCTATGCCTGCTTGTGAGTTAAATGGTCAGAAGAAGTGGAAAACTGAAGGAGAAGAGGGGCGGAGGGAAATTAAGCGAAAGGAAAATGGACAGTTTGACATCATTGTGTTGAAGAGTCAAGTATCTAGGGAGCATAGTATCATCCAATGAAAGCAGAGCTAGAACATCAGTTGAAGCAAAGCAAATCAGATCATTGGACAGATGTCACCAATTTTTGCACAACCACACATGTAACAATTGGCACCAAATGAGCACTATTCAGTACAGTATTTTTGCCAACATTTTGTTACTAGTGCCAAACATGGACATTAACAACAAAAGAAAGAAAAGAAACATCAAAAGGACAAAGATGTTGAATCCTGAACATAACTAGAAGAGACAGGAACATAAAAATGACGATATCAGAAAACAAGATGGGAAGGAAACATCAAGAGATAACAGATCATATGGTACCCCTGTGGTATCTCTGTGACTGTCCTTCACTTTCGACTTGCAGTCTCAGGTGTTTGTTGATGTGCCTGTTTATTTTCTCTTCACTGTCTTCTTGGTCAGCCTCCCATTTAACTCTTTTGTCTCGCTGTTATCTAATTTCTGTTTATAAATCACACAAGGGCTAAAAAGGGCTAAAAATTCCTTGAAATGGCAAAATAATATAAATGGAATTAAATTATTTACAGGAAGCTAAGAGATAAAGACAGTTAACCACCAGTAAGAGAAAGAGGCATTTAAAATTTGTTGATCACATTCTTCATATAGTCCATGCTGTGTGGTGTTAGTAGTCATGTTTATCCACAACCTTCTGTCTCTTGTACTTTTGGTCAGTTCTGACACAGATGTTCTCCCGTGCCTCTCTGTCAAAGTGTTCAGCTTCTTCTCTCTTTCGGTCTCCCTCTGCCTCATGCCCCCTTCAATTTTCCAGCCGTCACGATGTATTCCAGGTTTCCCCTTCCTGTGACATGACCAAAGAAATGTAGATTGTCTCCTTCTAATGTGGGCAGTCAGTTATCTTTCTGATAAATTTTCTTTAAGTTTTCTGTGATCACATTATGAAAATGGAAGAACCGGAAAATGTGACAGCTGGAAAGATATGTGAAATGAGAGATAGAAGACATCAAGAAAAGGTTAAGGTCATTGACAGCCTTTAATCATGGAATGGAAAGGAACCAAGAACCCACAGCTGAAGATCACAAGATACATAGAGACATGCAAACAGTCAGTTATTGGTGCCATCGGAATTGGAACTTTGCTACCGAAGATAGGAACGGAGCGCTTATGGGAGTATTCTGAATGCTGTATTGAACATCTAGACATGATTTCTAATACCACCATCAAGGACCTAGATGATTATTTCAACATCAGGAAATCATGTGTTATTCCTACCAGGAGGAATGGTTAAATAGCTTTCATATACAAAGAAATAAGAAGAAATACTTGGCATTAAATAGCAAAACAAGGTCACAAACACTAAAGTATTGGAAAGAGCAGGTATTAATTTTCTCAATGAGAACTCTTTGAAAGTTCAGATGGCTTGGACACACTTGCAGAATGGAGAATAGTGGAGTTCCAAAAGGCATCCTCTGTGGTGAATTACAGATAGGCAGAAGATGTCCAAGTTGGCCTCTATTACAATATAAAAATGTTTGCAAGAGCAACATGAATGATACAGGTATCGAAATGGATTTGTGGAAAAAGAATACCATTGACTATGTTTCATGAAGGTGGAAATCAGGAAGGGGAATTAGGGATATATGATAAAATCTTTTTTAAATAAATTAAGAGCTGAGCATCTGAGAAGAAACTTGTCAGACAGTGGTCCCGAAATCCCAAGCTTTTAATATAGATGATTTGTTATGAGTGCCCGCAGGTTTTGCTAGCGGCGCCCACCATCGCTAAAGGCTGTTATTTTCTTTGCTAACCCACAACACAATAAATTACTGTTTTCTGGGGGGAAAAAAAGAAATGGGCCAACCAAACATGTGTGTAAGAAATCATAAATTTCTGTTTATAAATGGGTTAATTTTTGAGAAATCAGAACTAAGAAAAATTTTGGCTTGTACACCTCATGACAATTATTGCTTGTAAGTCAAGAGACATTAAATCTGTTCATTTCTAACAACCTTCTTCTTCTTCTTCTTCTTCTTCTTCTTCTTCTTCTTCTTCTTCTTCTTCTTCTTCTTCTTCTCTTCTTCTTCTTCTTCTTCTTCTTCTTCTTCTTCTTCCTTCTTCTTCTTCTTCTTCTTCTTCTTTCTTCTTCTTCTTCTTCTTCTTCTTCTTCTAGGGAGGAGGTCTTCTTCTTCTCTTCTTCTTCTTCTTCTTCTTCTCTTCTTCTTCTTCTTCTTCTTCTTCTTCTTCTTCTTCTTCTTCTTAGAGTAGTGATCTTCTTCTTCTTCTTCTTCTTCTTCTTCTTCTTCTTCTTCTTTCTTCTTCTTCTTCTTCTTTCTTCTTCTTCTTCTTCTTCTTCTTCTTCTTCTTCTTCTTCTTCTTCTTTCTTCTTCTTCTTCTTCTTCTTCTTCTTCTTCTTCTTCTTCTTCTTCTCTTCTTCTTCTTCTTCTTCTTCTTCTTCGTCTTCTTCTTCTTCTTCTTATCTTTCTTCTTCTTCTTCTTCTTCTTCTTCTTCTTCTTCTTCTTCTTCTTCTTCTTCTTCTTCTTCTTCTTCTTCTTCTTCTTCTTCTTCTTCTTCTTCTTCTTCTTTCTTCTTCTTCTTCTTCTTCTTCTTCTTCTTCTTCTTCTTCTTCTTCTTCTCTTCTTCTTCTTCTTCTTCTTCTTCTTCTTCTTCTTCTTCTTCTTCTTCTTTGATCTTACTTCTTCTTCTTCTTCTTCTTCTTCTTCTTCTTCTTCTTCTTCTTCTTCTTCTTTTTCTTTTTCTTTTTCTTCTTCTTAGCCTTCACAGGCTGTAAACTCTGATGGAAAGTTTAAGTTGTTCAACCACTTCTGGATTTATTCTGCCTATCGGTCACTTTTGTGGTCAACCTCTACCTCTGCTTCCATTATGTCTAAGTGATAGGGCTCTCTATGGTGCACTATCTGGTGGCAGTCGTGAAACATGTCTGAACCTGCATATGATCTGTTGTCTCTTGATGAAGTTTACTGGTTCCATCTCATCTTGTTTCCTGATATCGTCATTTATGTTCCTGGCCTAGAACTTGAGTTTTGCATACACATCTGTTTTAAGATCTGGCTTATTTATATGCAGACTGTGGATTTCCCACCTCTCAAGCAGATGCACTCGGACTTCAAAGAAAACATCCATAATTAGTCGGCTTTCCCTATTTGCTTGCTATAGTGCATAGGTCTGTTCTCTCACCATTCTCCCCCCCCCCCCCCCCCCCCCCCCCCCCCCCCAATATAAGAAATCAATTATTGTGTTATTTATGTTTTCCTGTTAAGTGAACAATTATTGTGTTATTTATTTATGTTTTCTTGTTAAGTGAACAATTATTATGTTATTTATTTATGTTTTCCTGTCCAATGAACAACTATTGTTTTATTTATTTATGTTTTTCTGTTATCTGAAGTTTTATTTAGATTCTCTCTTTCTGTCCAGGACATCAAATTTCCATTATTACTAGATGTATTTGACCTGTGCACACCTGCCCTTCAGCAGAAGTTAATACCCATGAGGGATCGGTTTAAGGCCCTGGAAGACAAGAAAGTAGAACAGGCTCAGACGGTATGCTTTTAATATTTGGTACCTTAGCTATGAACTTTTTAAAATTGTGTTTGCTGTAAGGCATGTTACCTTAATAGAAGGTGTGGAATGATGATATCAGGCGGAGAGTCGGCAGAAACATTACTGAACCTTATAGGTAGACAACAGATCATAAGGTTTGGCCATGTAACAAGATTGAGGGGAGCTGCGTGGTCTCGAAGCATGGCGTCCACCTCGAGTTCTGGAGGTCCCGGGTTCAAGCCCTGGTGAAGGCTGGGATTTTTTCATGTGGACTTTAGTAATTTCTCCTGGTCTATGGGAAGTAAGGTCGGACGTCCGTGTATATTGTTGTGCAATTCAAAAATCCCTTGGCAGTTGGAAATCTAAAGGAGTAGCCTAACAGCGCTGCCCAGGCAAAATTTGAAGTTAAAAATCTACCCAGAAGTATTTCAGGATCCTTCCTGGTGCTACGGAGTTCGTGCACTGCACTGAAATTCTTCGGACTTGAGTAAACGGAGCACTTATGGGTTATTACCCTTGTGCCATGATGTTGATCCGTTGTTTAAACCTTAAAGAAGATTGGCATCACACAGAGAGCAATGTTATTCAGATACAGTGGTAACAAAAACCAGAGGTTGACCACCCAAAATATTGACTGCAAAAATATCAGAGACACTGAAAAGTACTATAGTTGAGGCGAACAGAAGGCCAAGTTCCAGAGATCTCTTCCTGCCCTGACGCCACAAGGCATTCCAAGAGTAGATACAAGAAGAAGAGCAAACATCAGGTGCTGATTGATTATAATCTTGAATAGTATGGGTTTAGCTTCATATGTCAGATGCACCACTGAATTGGAGAGGGTTTTTACATGACTCAGTGGACGTAGGCCAGCTGCTTTTTAACAGGTAGCAAAAAAGTAGATTGACTAGAAGAAGGTTGATCTTCAGTGGAATGATTTAAGCCCAGTGTTTGAAATAGCAGAAACGGGAGTAAGGAGAAATTCTAATATATTATATAGGCCAGCCTTTTCTTTTCTTGAGCAGCCCACAATTTAGAAAAAAAAATATATACAGGCTAAGAAGCCAGGAATTAAACTGAGATAAAGCTACCTAATACCAAGAACAAGATGGAAGGATAACATCAGAGAAACTCTACAACAGCACGATGTGCCTATGGTCGAGGCGGCCAGAAGAGCTAGAAACAGAACCTTATATCTCCCTCGACACCCACAGCGGTAAAAGAGGAAGTGAAGAAGAAGAAGCTACCTAATTCAGGTTCATGTTCTGCATGCTTTTAATTTGCCTTTATTATACGCATTTTGATATATGAACATAATATGCTTGATTTACAAAATACAATTGCTGCGTGAAAGATTAGTGTTAGCCGAATGTAAGATGGGGCCCTTTTAGTGACCCTTTGGAAAAAAAGTTGGTTTGTTCGTTCCCGCCCATAGATCATCACATCCCTTAAAGAGAGCAAAGAATAGTAACACAGCACCCTACCAGGCATGTCCTTAAAGGTGACTATGGTGAGGGTTGTGCTTGAGTTTGGCTACCTCAGTCTGTAAAATACTGTGGCCACAAAAAACAAAAACCAGTCATCTGAGATAGTTGATTGGGTGCCTGTGCTCAATTAGGGGGAAAAAACAGAAGAGGAATGAAGTTATCAGGTGAAAATGCTCAATCGCAGCGGTGTTTGGATGCTTTATTGGTCGTCACCTGAGCAAAGACTATTATAAATGATTCTCTAAAAAATACATAGACGAGGTCAAAACATTATTCCAACCATATGATAAATTAAGCTTATCGTCAACTTTGAAGGCGAGACCAGGTGAGCATTTTTAGATTGTAAACAGGAAACAACAAACTGAAATAATCTTATTGATCATGATTGAGTTATGAGTTGATCATAGTTAATGTGTAAAAAGATACTTGTAACCAAAAGTTTACAATTAATTAAAGTCTCGCCTGCAAATCGTAAGGTTATGGGTTCAGGTCCTGAAGGAGCCAGACTTTTTTCCAGAGTGAAAATGGCTACCAGGTCGACCCAGCCGTAATTGGGTACCAGTACAGTCTTGGGAAGTAAAGGCGCCCGGCGTGAATTTTGAACACATTACCCACTGATTTCTGCATGGTCTATAAAACATAGGGTCTGGCCCTATATGCCTAATATGCCTGAAGGCGGGGAAAAGGGTCCCTTTATTGTAAAGTCAACAGGATTGGTTTCATTGCACTGGATGTTATCCCTCTTGGCCAGGTATGTCTCTGCACAGTGGCCAGCCACTTGCTGAGAGCGTCACACAATACACAAACTCCACATCTTCTGTGAAGATTCACAGGAATCCCAATGAAAACTGCACCCACAAACAGAACACTGTTTCTGTGACACGAACCCCAACCTTCATTGTGTGAGGCAAAATGCTTGACCACTTCAGCACAGAAACTCCAGTTAATAATTAATGTTGAGATTAAAACATAATCGAAAATAAGTTTTTGAAAGAAATATTTCTTTATCTTCATAATTTTTATGTTTTCATTGCACAGGGTAAAGGAAAAGCCATTGTAGTCAAAAAAGACAGGAAAGATGTCAAAACAGAACCATACTGGTTTGCTGATGGTATGTTGTATTTTTACAAAAGAGGTTTAATGTAGAAATATTACAGCTGTTCACCCCAGGAACACTTTAAAAAAATAAGTCATAACCCCTTGGATGACCTTGAAGAAATCATTGTTTTAAAAAAATATTTTGGCGTGGGTTGCTAGTAAGTTTAACAAACAATATATTAATGCAAATTAAAAAAATAAAATTTCAAAGTATATAAAGATTATACAGGAAGTAATCCATAGCATGAATAGATTGAAGCATTAAATGGAATACATTTCCCGGGGCTAAAATAAAATATATGTATCAGTTGACCCATTCTGCGACCTCTGTTAGTGAGGCTTACAGGAAAATATTACGTCAACTTAAAAAAAAAAAAACCATTATAATAATGAAAAATTCAAATTTTGTGTTTTTTTTTTGTTCATTCTGACTTGTTAAACGTTTGCTTAAGCATGAGTACAGTAGCATTAACTGTACGTGTCCTAAACAATTCCTACAGTCAGTAGCATTAACTGTACATGTCCTAAACAGGTCCTACAGTCAGTAGCATTAACTGTACATGTCCTAAACAGTTCCTACAGTTAGTAGCATTAACTGTACGTGTCCTAATCAGGTCCTACAGTCAGTAGCATTAACTGTACGTTTCCTAAACAGGTCCTACAGTCAGTAGCATTAACTGTACCTGTCCTAAACAGGTCCTACAGTCAGTAGCATTAACTGTACGTGTCCTAAACAGGTCCTACAGGAAAGTCATGAAAGTGATTTTCATGGGAAATTGTCTACTGCTGGAAGTGTTGCTTTTGCATCTTCTCATGGCAACAGGATTAAGCTTTACATCATTTGCAGTGGCTCTCAGTTTTCTTTGACTCCAGATGAGGTTTTTTGCTCTACAGCTTTGATATGACATTTGCAATAGTCAGTTATTGCCTCACATTGCAGCAGCAGCATTTGCTAAAGACAGTTATCACTTTGTATTGCAACATCAGGATTTGCTATAGACACTTAACACGGCACATTACGGCAGCAGCATTTGCTATAGATTTTACATTTACATTTTGGTTTTTAATTTTGCTGCAAACTACTGGACGTAAATTTATTTGCCTAGAAAAACCACAACAGCCCAAAAATGCTGGGGTGGCTTCTTCAATGTCCTGTAAAGGATGTGCAACAAACTTTAACAGACAATTAACATGTCACATTGCAGAAGCAAGATTTACTACAGACAGTTAATGTGTCACATAGCAGTAGCAGGATTAACCATACTCAGTTAACACATCACATAACAGTGGCTTGATATGCCATAAACAATTAACTCATCACATAGCAGTGGCTTGATTTGCCATAAACAATTAACACATCACATTGTAGTGGCTTGATTTGCCATAAACAATTAACTCATCACATAGCAGTGGCTTGATTTGCCATAAACAATTAATACATCACATAGCACTGGCTTGATTTGCCATAAACAATTAACACATCACATTGTAGTGGCTTGATTTGCCATAAACAATTAACTCATCACATAGCAGTGGCTTGATTTGCCATAAACAATTAACACATCACATAGCAGTGGCTTGATTTGCCATAAACAATTAACACATCACATTGTAGCAGCAGGATTTGCTATAGACCAGTGTTTCCCAAACTTTTCTCAGTCGCAGCGCCATTTTTCAATTACAATTTTTTTCACAGAGCCTTAACCTAAGTAAAAGTATGATTATTCAAATGTAAGAGATAAAAAGAAATAATAAAACTCATGTATCTTTGAATATTTATTGGTGCCCCTGTAAAGGGGTCACCATTTCCCAGGGCGTGGCGGCACAGTTTGGGAAACACTGCTGTAGACATTTAACACATCACATTGCTCGGCAGGATTTGCCATAGATTTTTACCTTTACATTTTGAACCTCCCAAAAAATAGTTTCTATTCTGCTGCCACATGTTATGTGATGATATGTCTGTGTCTGTTTTGGCATCAACAGATTTAGGCTCAAACAACAGCGGATACTACGAGTTGTCGGCTGTGCTCACTCACAAGGGTAGATCCAGTTCCAGTGGCCACTATGTTGCCTGGGTCAGAAAGACAGGAGGTAAGTCTGTGGTCTTGTGGCGAGGTTTTGCTTATGTATTGAAAGATTAGTTGTTCTTTTACAGCTTGTTGCAGAACCAAACCCAAGTGTATAAGGTGGGATTGGTAGGCAGAATGTCCAATGGTTTTTGTCAAGAAGAGATCCAAGACATGCTGTATTCTGAGGCTTTAAGATGCTTCTCAAGTCCGCTGTTTTTTATTTCAGATAATTGATTATGAATCCTTTAGAAAATTGTGAGTTTTAAGTCTTAAGTTTGATGTCTCAACTTTCATTTCAGTTCTCTAGAAGACTATACATTTTAATCTTTTAGTTTGATAGTATAGCATTTGGTTCATTTGACCTTTGAAACGGATTTCTTCTCTTTGAGTGAGGTCAGTGTAGAAACCTCCCCCAAACTGGTACCCAGCATGTTCTGTGCAGAAAGTGTTGCAGAGCTCTGTTCCTATCCTTAAAAAGCCCAGAAACCAGGCAGGTGTGCAAGACATACTGAAACGTAATATCTACAGAGGAGCACATGCAGCCAAGTTATATTTCAGCACAGCACATATTTTGAGGCCTTGAGTGGGTACCAGGTGCAGTCCTGGGAAGTAAAGGTGGCCGGCATGATGCTCACCACATCGTCCATCTTGATCCGTTGGTCTATAAAATAATAGCTCCAACCCTATGTACCCAATACGCCTGAAAGGCATGGAAAAGAGTCCTTTACTTTGATGTTGATTCTTAATTCACCATGTATGTCCTGTGTTCCAGATGAATGGCTGATGTTTGATGATGACAGAGTGACACCAGTTACTTCAGAGGACATTCTTAAGCTCTCTGGTGGAGGTAAGTCAACTGGTTTAACCCTTAATTAAGCTGTCTGGCAGGTGAAAGGGTTAACGTTTAACCCCCAATTAAGCTTTATGGTGGCGGTAAGTGAACTGCTGGTTTAACCTTTAATCAAGCTCTGTGGCGGAGGTGAGTGAACTGATTTAACCCTTAATCAAGCTCTGTGGTGGAACTAATTAAGCTCTCTGGTGTAGGTAAGGGAACTGGTTTAACCATTAATTAAGCACTCTGGTGGAGGTAAGTGAACTGGTTTAACCCTTAATTAAGCTTTCTGATGTAGATTAGTGAACTGGTTTAACCCTTAATTTAGCTCTGTGTTGGAGGTAAGTGAACTGGGTTAATCCTTAATTAAGCTCTGTGGATGTCAGTGAAATGGTTGATGTTTTGTGGTGACAGAGGGGTTCTAGTAATTTCAGAAAACATTTCTTAACTCTTAACCCTTCTGCTCCATGAAAACCAAGTAAATACATAGGTCATAAACCCTTAAGAATTTTGGGAAAAATAATTCTTTAAAAAAAAAAAGCCATATTACACAATTCACAATATATATATATATATATATATATATATATATATATATATATATATATATATATATATATATATATATATATATATATATATATATATATATATATATATATATATATATATATATATATATATATATATATATTTCAGATTTGTTTGTCCACATTGTTAACTTGGGTGGGGGGGGGGGGGGTATAAAGACACATAAAGCTGTAATTATTAAACACAAACAAAGTGGAGAATTAAATTGAATACATTCCCAGGGCCTTAAACAAAACCACTGTGTATCTGGTGGCTCATACAGTAACCCTTTGACTTCTATTGCTGAGGCTTTTGGGAAACTTTTATATCAACTTTACTTTTCAAAAAGTTCTGGTAATTCACATTATTTTCCCAAATAATTCACCTAATCTATTTAATAATATACATTATCTGTTCTAGTAATTCACTTATTATGGTGATTAAACAGTTATAAGACAGAGAATATAGTGCTATATTGGCCACATCGTGAGAAAAATTTAGGGAAAAAATCACCAGACAGGCATTGAAATGAGAAATAGAGGGCTTGAAGAAATGAGAACATCAAGAAAAACCCTAAGGCGAACGTTGATGAGAGAAGCCAAAGGTGCTGGACGGGATTCCAGCCATGATATTGAAACTGATTGCACAGGATTGAACGCAATGGAGGAATAAACTACGAGCCCTGTATGACATACACTGTCACAGCGGGACAATCAATGATTAAAATGAATTCTTGTGATTTATATTATTATTATTTATTCTGTTAATTGCATTAATTCTAATAAAAACTGTCACTGCTGTCTAAAGGTACCACTTTTTAGGGCAGTACAGACATGCGGACACATTAAGAAAACCGGAGAACAATATAACTAGAATATCTTAGCATTGGAACCCACAGAGGCATAGGAATAAAGGAAGGCCAAAAACTACATTTAGAAAGGGAGCTGGAGAATGAAGTTAGAAAGATGGGGAGGACATGGGGAGAGCTGCATGCGAAAGCAAAGGATAGAACGACTTAGCATGAGTTGGTTAAGGGCTGATGCTCCATTGGGGGCTAGAAAGGCAGAAGAAGATAGACAGGGTGGGGGGAGGGGGGGGGGAGCCTGAGGATTAGGGCCACATGGCTAGTGCTGTAGCCACGGACTGTACAGGTTAGGATGTTTGATTTTGCCGCTGACAGAGCACTCTTATCACCTTACCGGGGGTTTGAACCAGGGTCTGCTGTGTTAGAGCCCAGTGTTGTAACCGCTCAGCCAGCTGCTGCTCTTGATTCTGTTAATTGACAGTATTTATTATATTAATCCAGTTTATCTACTCCAGTACATCTCATAAACAGTTTTAGTCAATCAAATTGTCAATCAGGCAGTTTCCACCATCTCCCACAAAAATGTTATGTCTTGATCCACTCTGCCCTGTTTTTTCACACCCTACAGGAGACTGGCACTGTGCCTACGTGTTGCTGTACCAGCCAAGACTCCTGGAAGTCGAGGAGGAGCCTCCACAGAGCTAATTATCATCTTGGGTGATAGCTGGTGTGATAGTGTTTTGTTACTTTATGTGTTTCCACAAAGTGATTCTTGTTAATGACTTTCTTTCACAGCAGAATTTATATGTTTTGTAGAAGAAGGCTTACTCAATGGGATGCTAGAAGATGGCAGGTCTTGTCTTAACTCTTTGAGTCCCAGGGGGTTTAGCATCACAGGCCTAAGGGGTAATGAAAAGAGACGTAAAATCGGCGCATCATGCGTTTATTGGACCTCTAGGTAGGAATCTATGAATGTATGATGCGTTCCTTGGGACTCAAAGAGTTAAGAATGTTGTGTTTTTTTAATTAATTTGCAGAATTTTTATTGGAATAAGGCTAGATGAAGGTCCATAGTTTGTGATTCAGATGTTTATATAAAGGTTAATGGGGTTATTACTCAACATCAGTGATTGATGGATTTCGGATGATAGGGATTTAAAATGCTATGGCTGTTAGATGATAGTGAAAATCTTTCCTGCCGACCTGAAAGTCTGAGGTTCAAATCTGTCATAAAGGGATTATTATTTTATATATATATATATATATATATATATATATATTTTGGTGAGGTGTTCATGAGAGCATGACCCAGCCTAAAATAGATACCAGATAATGCCCTGGGAAATTATGGCAACTGACATGATGCTGACCCTGTCATTGCCAGTTGGTCTGTGCAAATATTGAACTGGCATCATATAACACTGACATAAAAAGGGCCTTTACTGGGTTTTTAGTTTCTTTTGAAGATGGTAGTGGTGATAGTGTGCGGATGATTTATTGTGGTGTTAGACAGTAATTATGGAATGTTGGTCATATATTTCTTGAGGCCTCAAAGATGTGGTTTTACAGCAGAATCCTTTGAATTCCTTGCGCAACCAAAACCCAGATGTTTTGAAAGAGACAAGCATTCGAAGACAACTTATCATAAACATCAGAAAGAGACAGTCATCATTTTTATATGGTCATCTGATGAGAAAAAGGAAACTAGACCATGTTCTGACTGCTGGAGAGATCTGTGGGAGAACAAACAGAGGAATACAAAACACAAACATTCTTGACAGCCTTGTGTCATGACATAGTCTTATCAGCTGTTAAAGATCGCAGATGGAAGAGGGAGGCGGGGGCATGATCGCCCACTCCAGTCGATAAGGCACTTGATGGTGGTTGTATATGTGGCAGTTAGTGAAAATAGAATGTAGGTAATGTGAGTAGATGGTAATTATGGGATGCTTGTAATGTATGTTATAGTTAGACATTGATTTTATAGTGTCGGTGGTTTATGCTACAGTTAAATCTTGGTGAGGGAGTGTAGGTTTAAAGGCAAGAGAATCAGTCCATGGCACTAAATTTTACCCTGCTAGGCTCAGTCTCATTTTTCAGAGCAGCTGGTGACTGCCAGATGGTGGTAATTGAAAATAAGTGTGTTTAAGAAACACTTCAACACTAAAGATGGTATGTAAGTAATGCATATTACGGCAGCAGCAGATGTTACATAGCTGAGTAATTGAAGAATATCAAGATTATTTTGTATATATACAGGCAGCCATCACAGAATAATGTTGATTACTAAATAGGGTGCCTGGATTTTTATCATGGTATGGGCCGTCGCAGGTCGACCCAGCCTAAAATGGGTACCAGGATGGCTGTCCTGGGGAAGTAGAAATGGTCGGCATAAGGCTGACCACATTACCCACCTAGTGCCGATGGTCTATAAAAATATAGGCGCTCTTCCCATATGCCTTATACGCCTAACGGCGTGAAAAGGGATCATTCCTTTTTTTCTCTCCATTTGTAGGGTACCAGTGGTGAGATTTGCTATTGTCAGGGATTTCCCCCCAAATAATTTGGTGTACTGTCTCCACAGTGGAGGTTGGTTTTAGAGTGCTACTGCTGCCTTTAGGGATATGGCCTGGTGAAGCCTGAATCTCTTCATGTGACAATCTAAACCTAAAAGGATGTGAGCGTGTGTTTTTTTTCCTAACTAAACCACAGTATTGTTACAGTATTTGAACCCTAGTGCTAAAAAATCGTGAAATTGCAAGACGTTCACTAATCTCCAAGATACAAAACCACATGACCTGGGATACAGAATTCAGTGAAGCCACATCACCTTTGAGCAAGGCTTTTTATTTTTGTAGAAAACGGCACTCACCAAAAATGAAGAAAAAAAACAATGTTATTACTCAACACAAAGTGTCTGTTGCCATAGCACTGAAGATATGATGCCTTTAAAAAAATTGCAGGTACTGCGTTCCATTGTGTACTTTCATAAAATTTGTTTTTCCTTTGAGATTGGAATGGCCTCTTAGACAAGCACTGCTGATGTATGTGGACAAATATTGGTGATTCTTGCATTACTTCATTACCCCTATTCCTATCAGGTCTTGAAAACTGGACCAAGCATAGTATCCCCAGAATGTTTCTGTGACCTGTACATGGGCACTTTATGCTTATATATGTATGTGAAATACCCAGGACTTCATATTTACTAGGACACAACATATGAGGCCATGGTATTTGACATAGGGTTGGCCTACTTCTATATGCATGTGAAATACCCAGGACTTCATATTTACTAGGACACAACATATGAGGCCATGGTATTTGACATAGGGTTGGCCTACTTCTATATGCATGTGAAATACCCAGGACTTCATATTTACTAGGACACAACATATGAGGCCATGGTATTTGACATAGGGTTGGCCTACTTCTATATGCATGTGAAATACCCAGGACTTCATATTTACTAGGACACAACATATGAGGCCATGGTATTTGACATAGGGTTGGCCTGTTCCCATCATTGTCTCCTTCCTAGACATTACCAAGAAAATTATGGAATACATACAGTACCAATTTTTTTGAGTCTGTTATAATTAAGTCGAGAGGATCAACTTCAGTGCACCCGCTTTCATTCCATATGGCTTAGTCTCTCTCTGAAGAACTGCAAGCTGCCCTGCTGAGATTGTTGCACAAAGCACGAACACTGTAGCACAAGTATAAAAAGCCTGGTCCAGAAAAGAAAAAAAATCTCATCCTGTTTCCTAGCCCAAAGTCTGAAGAGATTGTTTGCCACTGATGAGTTAATGACCTGCTGATGTTTGCCACTGATGAGTTAATGACCTGCTGATGTTTGCCACTGATGAGTTAATGACCTGCTGATGTTTGCCACTGATGAGTTAATGACCTGCTGATGTTTGCCACTGATGAGTTAATGACCAGCTGCTACATGATGATGATGGTGAACATAACACATTCAATGCTTTTGAAGGTTGTGTATTTTAGGAAGCAAGCAGTTACTTTCTTTGCCTGATGATATTTTCATATAATCAGTTTTGCCAGACTGTCATTTTAGTTGCAGCCATACTTCTTAATAATCATATTGTCCCAGTAAGTGTCCTACGTATGCATGACGTAATGTGTTGAATTTTCCTTTCATATAGCATATGTTGTCAATAAATGCAACCGCCTGGTTTGCCTCTATGTTTACATTTTTATAGTTTTTTTTTGGTTTGTTTTTGTTTTTGGGTTAATCTGGAAGCTTGCGTTATTGACAACGCCCCTGCCTCGTAAGAGGGTGCGAACACATGACCACTAGGCAGTACTAATCCAATAATGTGGTTAATATTAACTATTCTAGTAATTCACATTATTTTGCTATTAATTTACAGTCTGCTTTAGTAATTCTCTATAACTTACAGGAATTCACTTTTTCTACTAATTCACATTAAATATTATATAAATGTTTTTTAAATTTGGGTAATTTACCTGAACTATTCTGGTAAACATGCAATTTTATAATTGTTTTTATGTTACATACGGCTGCATCATTTAGCCCACAAATGTAGTTTTCACGGAGATTCCCAACAAGCATTGGTTCTATATTGCTCTCGTTCAGGTAGGCTGTTGGTGACCTGCTAGTGACAACATTTAAAAATGGACTTACGGTCAAAATGGACGCTAGGCAGCGGCACAGTTTAGAGCCGAGGCAAATTTTATGCTTCTGCCGGACGGTGGCCTTTGCATTTTTGCTCCATTTGTAGACTGGATATAGTTTCGTCGCCCAGCTTCTGAGTGGAATGCATGGCAGGACACTGTGAGCAGCGGATTTCATTTGGAATGTTTTTTCGACTATGACCAATGTGGTGGTGTGAACTGTAGATTCAGAAAATGGCGCGATGCCTCTCCACGCAACGTTGGTGATGCCCGTATGTGATTAAAATTAATCACGTAGGCAACTGCTGATCTGTTGCTTACTTCTGCTACCATAAATGATAAACTGCATTTCTAATGTCGGACTGTTTGTGTTAGCACTTGGAATGGCTACCATACGCTTTAATGCGTGTGTATGCTAGATATGCTGAGACAGCAGTCTGTCAATCTGTTTTTTGTTGGCACATGAGCAGAGCAAGATGGAGTGACCCGTTTGCTATGAAGCTGAAACTAAGACTACCAGATCAGTAATGTCAGTTATGTAAATCACAAAGAGCCCTGGCTCTTTTACCCTGTTCTGAGAGACTCCCTATAGTATACGTTTTACTGGTTGAACAGTCAGTATACCCTAAGAAGATATCTCTGTCACATTCTTGATACAGGAAGTATCTTATTAAAAAATGCATGTTGTGTGTAGTTGTGGCTTGTAGAATTTTCAACTCGGGCCATCCTTTCACTCAGTGTCGAAGTGTAGGAGTATTAAAAAGAAACTAATGCATAAAATATATATTCTTTAATGACAAGAATGAATCCGATTGGAAATAACTTAATTTCTTTTAAAATGAAAGCAGTAACTTTGATTTTAATGTTGCACTACATTGAAAAACTTAGTAACAGTTGATCAGAATGGTCTCTCTCTCTCTTTATGGATGTCTTTTTTTCATTCAGTGCTTCCTAGATTCCTCCCCTCCTCCCCTCGAATTAACAAAAGTTGGTCGAGGCCCCCTCCCCGAACTCTCCTAATGCCACCCCCACCCGGGGTGGGGGGGGGGGAGGGGTGCGTAGCGCACACTTATGGAAACATTGTAATAATGTAAAACTGATAAAAGGTGTTGAAAGTAACGCTTTGATAAAAGGAGTTCAAATCAGAATTTTTTTTTTTTTTCAACTTTTACTTGACTTAGTAAAACAAAACGAGTCTCAGGAGAAGTGCATATATGATCGTGTATTATAATATATTTACAGATATTACAGTTTCATTAAGAATCATCATCGCAGCACTCAGAACATTGCCTTAGGTGCTCTGTCACCATCTTCAGCAAGAGCTCCAATTCCATTTATACCAATAGCAGTCTTACAGGTATTAATAAATCACAAGTCGAGGGAAACAGATAAATGACCTTTTACCGCAGCATTTTCTCTTATCATCTTTTACCTTCTCTTCCTATTTCTTTTATTCTTTATCTTCTTTTCGTCTCCTAAAAGTGCGCAGTTTCTCGACAAGCCAAACCAGGTCTTATGTAGCCATGTTGCTGATTAGTTGGCATTTGCAGCTAGAGTTTCGTACAGGAAAGGGTAGGCAGACCAACCTCTCTTAGTCGCCTCTTATGACATACAATGGTAGGTTAAAATGTTACCATTCTATGCTTGCCTGATGGCCCAGCATCCCACAGGTCTTAGGTTTGGCGTTGAGTCGACCCTGCTTAAAACAGGTACTAGGGAATTCCACTTCATTTCATAGAAACGTATATGTCAGTAAATTTTGTTGACACCGTTAACCAGCGGATCCCAATCTCTGTTTTATAGAGGTAGAGTCAAGCACGACCACATATGTTTCAAATATTCTTTTTTTAATGAGAAAAAGCAATGGAAAATATATTTTTCAGAATAAGGTATCACTAATAACCAACTAATTACAAGGAAATGCCCACATTCCACAAACAATCTCTTCGCAGGATGCGATGACCAAATCTTTTGTTTGTTTTTGTTTTCCTTTTTAAAATTGTCATAGCTCTACTATGTTAAGAGAGTTGGCCTTGGGCAGATACTGTCGTGAAGGTTGTGCACTTCGCAACTTATTTCACAATCTTCTTGGTCTGAACTGAAATGGAACAAATTAGTTGGGTTCATTAACTGGTCGTATATGGATGCTTGGACTGACTCCAAACACTGACCACCAGATACTTACAAGTTACGTAACATTCAGTGCCTCAGACTTAAGGTTGAGAGAATCGACATGCCAGCGTTCCAGCTATTATCATTAATGCACCATTTGCATCTTCAGCAGCCAGTCTTGGGTTATAATACTAATAGTGCCACTTGTCATCAGTTAGCAGGTCCTTATCAGGCCCCCTTGAAGTTCCCCCCCCCCCTCCCTTTCCCCATTAGCAGCCAATTCTCCAGCCTGTGTGCTTTCAAAGTCAGTGCGTCTTCAGTATCTTGTATCCGCTTTGTCAGTAGTAGTCTTATATATATATATATATATATTGCTTTTCCTCTGAGTATTAAATCTCTACCAGATCCAGTGTCTGCTTCTTTATCTAAATTCGCTCTTAAAGGGCCTTTAGCATGTTCTGAATTACAGCTTGTCTGGGATAGCTGTACTGTTGACCCAACACATCAGATTTAGGCGAACCCTAAATAAGTCGCTGTTTATGACATGCCTGTTAAAGGCAAAAGTTTGATTTCTTGAATATTCCCTCAAACAGGGACACAAGAGCCCTCACATAGCGAGTATCACAGTTATTTATTAGGCTTGCTTCACAGTTTTGAATGAGGAATAAATAAAATGTTATCGTTGTTCAAAACTGTTATTTGTATCTGTAGCCGAACATGCGATGAAAGGTAACACTTTACCAGCTGACATTTAGAAAAACATTCAATGCTCCAGTCTTATACAAAATAATCAACATCAGGTACACTTGTTCCACACACGCACAGTCTCTCTCTCTCTCTCTCTCTCTCTCTCTCTCTCTCTCTCTCTCTCTCTCTCTCTCTCTCTCTCTCTCTCTTTCTCTCTCTCTCTCTCTCTCTCTCTCTCTCTCTCTCTCTCTCTCTCTCTCACGCTCAGTCACTTTGGCACACCAGTTTGTGATCTGAACAACATCATAAAATTCTTTGCAAACGAGTAAAACCACGGGAATTGTAAACAACAGCAATCGACTGAAAAGGTCATATAGAAAGGAAATACTGGAAATATATAAATAAGTATTGCAAAATGAAACATGGATACAGAAAAGAGAAACGAAAGAGAAACTTATTTTTTACACCAAGAAGGCTAACATTCTAAAGGAAGGAAGAACTGAATATCGAAGAAAAATGGCTCATAAAGTGTCGAAGTTGGTGGGTGGATGTGGTTAGTATTAAACTTACAGTTTTGACAAAGTCACAGTTACACAATATCATAATTATCTGTCTATTATTGTTTCGTAATAGCAGTTTCAACAGCAGTAATTGTTTCTAAACAGATAATGGTGCTTAGATCGATAACTTCGATAAAACTGAAGTCTAACAACTCGAAGACGGCAGACCATATCTCTCTTTTTCTGCACTGGTAACACATAAATGTGTCCATTTTAAAATCCTTTATATCTTTCTGTGAATGCTAACGATTTGGACCAGATTCTTATCACATGACAACATCATTATTTATATTCCTTTCGCCCGTTTTACTGAGTTCATGGTGATCAAAAGCAACCACACTTGTACCGGGTTCTATCTGTGTGTTCGAGGAGATGGTGGCCACAGAGATACTTGGGGGCGATTGCACTTCACTAAGTTCTGGTACTGCCCAACCTTGTATCATTTCAGAAAAACTTCGATTCCTCGTCTCCGGCATTAAAAAGATGCAGAAGACTACCATGGCAGCGTCGATACCAGCAAAGACGAAAAATGTGTATGCCGACATGGTTTCCTGAAAAAGACAGAAACACATTAAAAACGGTATCGATCTTTTAACAGAACAACACCGCCTTAGCATAAAGATAGGTAGCGTTACTTTTATAGCGCATTCACCTTTTGCATTAACTCTTTCTGTACCAACCAAAGCACCATGTGTGATTAGCTATAGCCTTTGCCTACCAAGACCAGTGTGATCTGATGTTTAACCTAAGTATACTACATACATCTGGCTAGTGTGGCGCGGTGATTTATGTCACAGGCGTGAGGGGAAGTTAAGTCCAACATGATGTGTATAAGGAGATACTCCGTACGTCACTCGGGCGCCAGTCCTTTACTATCCTGGTTGTACGGAACCTCACGCAAGACCCATACAGCACGTCCTCGTCGTGCGCCACGGATAATGTCTCAAATGAGCATTAACAGAGCTGTCAGGGGATCTCGGAGTTCGGCGGCCCCCAGAGGTGATGTGTCCTTGTGGCTCTCATCAGCCCGCCCCCCAAACGCTTGGGTGACAAATGTTATCAAAACTCTTTAGGAACATGAGTAGGTTTGCCAAACGTACAGCCAAAATTACAATCCTTGGTTAAAAGACTGCGGAGTAAAGAGAACATTGTTCACTGCGCATCCTCTGTTAACCCTCAGGGTCGTCGTCACCGCGCTGAGGTGCACCACAACAGCAACCATCCATAGGCTGGCCATCCTTGTACATCCTCGGTTAACCTTCAGTGTCGTCGTGACCGCGCTGAGGTACACCACAACAGCAACCATCCATAGGCTGGCCATTCATGTACATCCTCGGTTAACCCTCAGTGTCGTCGTCACCGCGCTGAGGTACACCACAACAGCAACCATCCATCGGATGGCTAAGCCTAAATGTCCGACAAAACTAGATCATACGGATCAAAATCTGACCATCAAAATTTGTATTGAACTGAAAAAGACCGAATGTCCACACCCAAAGACCCCACTCGCCCGAGTGTTGGGACAAAACTGATAACGATATGCCTGATGCAGGATGTAAAATTCTGTCGGGCTAACGGCTCGTCGAAGAAATCTAACGTGCGAAGAAAAAAGAATGTATCTATCTGTGTGGTCACAAAAGTCCAAAACCCACGGGCTGCTCCCCGCTGACTTCCAGAGGGCGCAGCCCCTGTCGAGCGGGAGTCCTGATACGGTTGTGAGGTTAAGCAGGCATGTGCAGGACGTGACGATTCCTTGGGTGAGCCCAGAACCAGCGCGCCATGTGCCGGCTCTGCATGCATGGAAGCCTCCTTGGATGGCGGAGAATGCCCATGATCTGTCCCTGCTTTCCCTTGAGGGCTAACTGTTCCACAGGGGGCTGCCCCAAAGGGGTACTCCGGGGGCAATACCTGCGGCGAAGGAGACAAAGTGGACACCACACAAATCAGGCAACGTCTCAACCCACACAAAACAATGGCCACAGTCACCCTAGAAATAGGCATGACGTCCTCCTTCGAAGTCGGAGTACAGCTGCCCATGAGGCAGGGAAATGAAAAACGGTTGTACACGCAAAAATCAAGTCCAGGTGAAAGCCAAAAGTCCAAGCGGACGATTAACCGGGACCTTCCACTGGAATTCACAGCCGGTGATCGATTAAATAAATAAATAAAATCTGGCTAGGTATTTTAATGCCCTAACTAATTATATGTGTTGATACATCGGGTTACAGCCAGGTATATCACATTTTATATTCATTGTGACTATTGATACGCGTGGGAATCTCGTAATCTAGTAATCTGAGTTTCCACGTCATATCAGACGGGTCACCCCATAATTGCTTCGCTCCTGTGCCAACGAAAAACACACAGAGTGTTTATCACTGTCCCTTGTTGAAAAAATAGCACAGACTGCAGTCTCAGCATATCCACTAGCATGCACACATATTAAAAGCATAAGGCAGCCATCAGAAGTGCTAACACAAACATTCCGACATTAGAAATGCGGCTCAGCATCGACGGAAGCAGTAGTCACAAACAGATCAGCAGTTGCACACGCCATTAATTTTGATCACAGCACTTATTCTGTGGCAACAAGACACACGCCTTTTTTCTGAATTTCCACTGAATAATTGTAAGTTTGTGGATTGGCTTACTGCTTGATCGCCTTGATGTCCACAAGGGTAACTTAAATCACAAGTCTGTGAGATTCGGGACTTGAGACTGGAAAAAGACTTGAGGTTATAGGACTATATGTTACTTCCTAACCGGTTTCGTGGTGCCCCCATATTACTGTGCTATATGGCTATACTGTTGAACAGTGTTTCCGGGATCTTTTCCGGTTTGATTCTCATCTTTAAGATGTTAATCCTACATAAAACAAATCTAAAGCCAAACAAACTGATAAAAAGGGCGGGAGCAGAAGGACTCAAATGATGATTCATGTTCATGTGGCCTCATTATGAATATGGAAAATAAGAACCTTTTTTTTTTTTTTTTGGTCAGTGGCGCATCTGACATGTGCTGGTAGATCTAGAGCGAACTGTGCTTCCTATAAAATTTCCTGTTGTCTAGTTTAGCCTGGGTCGACATGGGAGCCAAGGTAAATTTTTTTTTTTAATCTCTTCCTTGCCAGATTTGAACCGAAAATATTCATGCCTAGCCACTGGGACACTGCGGCTCGCCCTCATCAGCATCACTCAACAGGTCCCTTACAGAACGTCGCTCTCATTACGACACACCTAAAAGTCTGTTCTCCAGCCCATTGTGTTGTCATCGTCAATACCATATACACATCTTCCCGGAGATGTTCTTCTGCCTCGTTTTCCGGAAACTGTACTCGCCATCACCGTTCTCTCTAGGGTGACCATGACGTTTAACATGACCACAATACCCCAGTTTTTGGGACAGGATGCTGTTTGTGAGCCAGTTCTCCTTGATGCTCAGATCACAGATTTGCAATATGGGAGCCAGTATCTACCATGGGACTACATTTTTTTTCCTCTTTTTCAAACTTACAAAGATGCTCACACATACACACTTGTAACTTTACTGATATTGGGAGTGACCTGATAACTTACATTCATCGCAGGTAAGGCGTAACAGTGTGCGAAGAAGCCAATAAACGCACACAAAATGGCCACGCCAAAGCCAGCTCCCCGGGCACTGTGAGGAAACAGCTCACCGAGGATCACCCAGAACACAGACACTAGAGGATACAAATATAAATGCTGATATTATTTTGTCTAAAACTGTGAAGCTCAACATCCAGAACACAGACACTAGAGGATACAAATATAAATGCTGATATTATTTTGTCTAAAACTGTGAAGCTCAACATCCAGAACACAGACACTAGAGGATACAAATATAAATGCTGATATTATTTTGTCTAAAACTGTTAAACTTAACATTCAGAACACAGACACTAGAGGATACAAACAGAAATGCTGATATTATATTGTCTAAAACTGTTAGACTAAACATCCAGAATACAGATACTATAGGATGCAAACAGAAATGCTGATATTATTTTGTCTAAAACCGTTAGACTTAACATCCAGATCACAGACACAAATTCACAACAAGGCTGCTGGCCGATATGCAAGGCTCTTATTCAGGAGACTAGGGTTCGAATCATCAAAAGTGATAATTACAGGCAGTAAAAGCAAACACACATCCATACAGGCACTCAAAAGGGTTTTTTGTGTGTGTGTGTTGGGGGGGGGGGTGTTACACTATTTCCTCTTGAATACACAGGACAGAGATTACGAGAGTCAGAAACAAAGGCACACTGAATGCAGACACTTGGAGTGCAGAAGCCGTTTTTTTTTTTTTTTAAACATGTCAGGTCGGCGCCTGTGGCTAAGGCGTTGTGAACGCGCTTCGTAATGCCGCGGTACCGGGTTCGATCCCACTGCAGGCTGTGTGTCTTGCATAGGTTTTTACAGTGGTATCAAGAAGCCGACCGTCCAGGAGCAATGACAAACTACTAGACGTAAATTTGCCTAGAAAAACCACAACAGCCAGTGCTGGGGTTGGTTCTGCAACGTTCTGAAAGGATACATGTCAGACCTCACATTTAACATACATGGCATAGACACTCGGGATTAGAAACAATATGATTAATTTTGTTGGTCTACAAATTTCAGACTCAACATATGTAACACAGACACCAGGCAACATTAATTTTTTTTTAAATACATTTGTGTATACTAAGAGACACTTTAACACGTCGACAAGTGAACGTGAACAAAATAAACATCTAAGGGAATGTCAATAGGGAAACCCGCAAATAATTTAGCCAAACAAGATCACAGATAAAGACCTAAGGAGCAGGAGAAAATGTCAGTCACTGGCAGTTATAAAAGGGGGATGATTGAGGTGGCTTGGACATGGGTGCAGAATGCTTCATGGCAGTTTGACAAGGTTAGCTCTCCAGGGGGAGGGCAGATTGGGAACAAAAATGAGACGTGGACGAGCTCAGCAAACCTGGAAAAGGATAGAAGACAGTGACATGATTGAGTGTAAACTGACATGGGATATCATAAGCAGAAAAACGTCTGACTGGCAGCAATGGAAATCCTTTGTGAATGCCTTTTGTGTCAACAACGACATCAAGAGAAAATCTGGTGCTTATAGTCTATGCCGTGTAACGTTGGTAGTCATGTCTCTCTATAATCTTATGTATCGGGTACTTTCAATCAATTCTGACACACATGATTTTCCATTTCATGCAGTCAAACTGCCCAGCATGTTCTCTCTCAGTCTCTCTCTCTCTCTCTCTCTCTCTCTCTCTCTCTCTCTCTCTCTCTCTCTCTCGCTCTCTCTTTCTTTCTCTCTGTCTCTCTTTCTTTCTCTCTCTCCCCCTCTCTCTCTCTCTCTCTCTCTCTCTCTCTCTCTCTCTCTCTCTCTCTCTCTCTCTCTCTTTGCCTCTTTCCCCCTCGAGCGTTCCCACTGTTAATATGTACCCTAGTTTACCCATTCTCATGACATGACCAAAGAATAGTCTCCTTCTGATGTGAGCAGTCAGATCTCTATGACTCTATGACTCCGTTTCTTCCAAGACATCTTCATAACTATTCATAAATAATTTCTATATGAAAGTTGTGTTGGCCTGCAGCCCAGTGGGTATTTGTTCGAATCTCACTCGAGACCGGGATGTTTTTCACTGTATTGACATTTCGATTCAGCCTAAAATAATTCGATGTTCTTCTAGGATGTATAACGGGTGGGATTGTTCAGTATGAGACTCGCCTTAGTGCGCCCTAATCTAGACCCGTATACTATTGACTCCATCAGTCATAGAGTGTCGACTGGTCTATAAGAATAAAAGCCTTGCAGTAGACATGTATACGAATATTTGAAACGTCTCATGGAGTGGACAAGTGCCTGTTAATTATTTAATGACTATTGTTTTCAGAATATTCTGAAATAAGCTGGACAAAAAAGGGAGAAAAAAAAATGTTGTCTTCGAAGTCGCCGTGCATTTGCCTCATAGGCATGGAGCCAGCAGTTCAGTAGTCTGTATACAAATAAGACAGATCTGTAAAACAGATATGCACGCAAAACTCAAGTTCTAGAACGAGTGGACAAACTACCAGAACCTTCCACTGGAGTTTACATCCGATGAAAGTGAAGAAAAAGAAGACAAAAATGTACACAAGAGGGAAAGCAATGCTCGTAGAGATACAAACCTGGACCAAGAGCGTAGGAAACCATGATGAGTAGAGCTACCACAATGTTCACGTACTTCAGAAATGAGGCATCATTCTGAAAGAAAAGAAAAGGATCAACTTACAAACACAGGGGGTTACGGGGTAATCTACAGTCTAGTGTTGAGGTAAAAGGAGTACAAGCTCTTAGTTACGACCCAAAAGAATTGGGTTCAAACCCTATTTTTAAATAAATCGATCTTGGTAGGAAGATCGACCTAGCCTAAACTAGGTATCAGGACATTTCTATAAAATAGAATATTACCATATCATCCATCATGGCTTGAATGGTCTTTAAAAACCGTGGGTTTGGCACTTTAAGTGTAATACGCCACTGCGGTGAAAGTTTCTTTTACTTTACTTTACTTACTTACTAACTTAGGTTCTTGCCCAATATTTCGCTACAGATGACGTCACGGGAAAGTCCAGTAATTTCAAGGGTGATAAGAGCGGGCTTTCCCGCTGTCTGTATGTCTTCCAAGCGTTGCCAAGGTGTTGGCGCGTTTCTTCTTCCGGCGGCTTGTGTTTGCGACGTCTATCCAGAGACTTGTGTGTTCAGTCTTCATCGCCATGAATATCCTTGAATTATCAACATCGGTGCCTGGCAAGGAGAGCAGCGTTGCTTTCCTGCAACATCATGGCATTCTGCATAGTACCAGACGTTTCGGCAATAATCATGCGAGGGTGTTACCACAACAATAGTCTGTCGTCTCTACTGCTGCTACCGCCGCAACAACAGGTGCCACATTCCGACCTTTTACTAGATCTACTAACGTGTACAATTGTTCTGACTGTCAAGTCGTGCGCGAATTCAGCAGTATAAATCTAGAATGATAAGCTTTTTTAAGGCCACACCCTTCCCCCCCCCCCCACCCCCAGTACTCCATTTTGCAATTTATCCTCCCCGATTGCACATAGAGGTTCACACAATAACAAATTGCAAAACAGCATCTTCCTACCCAGAAAAAAAAAAAACCGTTGCTCTCAGCTGCCGCGATATCACGTATATTACATTCCATAATGCGAGAGTTTTTAACGACCTCAAAACATCTACACAACTGGCCCTAACCCCAACCCACCTAAGTCCCATGAAAATGTACAGCCTAGGTCCCATGACTGTAAGCAGCCTAGGTCCCACCACCGTAAGCAGCCTAGGTCCCACCACTGTACGCAGCCTAGGTCCTCCTCCCCAGGAAGAAAAAAAAAGAAAGAAAAAACCCCACAAAAACTGCATCCTCGTGACTACACATAAGAGTCCACAAAACACAGAAAAATGCACACCAAAAATCAGCACAAGAAGCACCTAAAACTACGCAGCGCAAAACCACACAGCAAATGAAATTCCAAATTACTACACTATACAACACCCCCTGAAATATTAGTCTGTTCCGTGACCTGTGGATTTCCCGTATGTGTGGTGAAATATTGGGAAAGTATCCCTTGGTTACTAAAAAATAAAACAAATAATAATAATAATTAGTTGCATATCTTTTACCACTGCATAGCCAACCGGAGCATTTTTTTAAGGGTGACCGGAAAGGGGGGGGGGGGCTGCTTGTGATTTCACCAGGCAATTTTACATTCAGTCCATTGTCATTCAAAGGTTAACCCTTAGTACCACTCTTCATACCAACGCAAGACGACCTGCTGCAATATCGCCAGCATTTGGGATCGAACCTGGCACCACTGAATTACGAGGCATCTTCGCAACTCATAAACCGCAGGCGTCTCCTAATAAATATTTACTGTTGAATGTTGGATGTTGACTGTTGGATGTTGGATATTGAATGTTAAATTAGGAATCGCCATCACAGAACTCAGGATACTCCCATAATCGATCCGTCCCTGTCTTCAGCAGCAAACGAAGTGTTCCAATTCCGATGGCGACAGTAACTGATTGTATATCCGCCGAGCCTTACCCGTGAGTGTTGAGCGTTTATTAATAACACAAGCAATTATAAAAAGCAGAAAAATGTCCCCCACCTGAAAGACACAAGTGAGAGAAAACACCGCACAAAAAATTCCAATGGCGGCTGTTCCGATCACAAACAGGGTTTTGCGTCCAAACTTGGTGACTAGATAAGTCGCTCCGATGCAGCCCAAGAGAAAGACGCCTCCGGTACCAGATGTAGCATACCTGGAACTTCGACCTGTCACTCCGACTTCCTTAAACAATGTATCGGAGAAGAAAAGAATCTGCAACAGAGAAATGTACCAGCGAGCTATAAAACACAAAACATAATTAGCGGATTATGTTAGCATAGTTGTCATCCCATAGTTATAAAATGCAAAAACTGAATTTTATAAAATGAAGAATATCTTGTGCAAATATATCCTTGTAATTGAGAGTAAGAAAAATAATTATCGATGGCTACATACATCCAGTTTTAACATATGGCTGTGAATCCTGGACAATCGGTAGGCAGGCCAAACAATTTCTTGAGGCCTCAAAGATGTGGTTTTACAGAAGAATGCTTAGAATACATTGGACAGCCAAAAAGAGCAACAAAGAGGTTTTGAAAGAGGCAGGAGCCCGAAGACAACTTATCACAGGCATAATTTTTCGGCCATGTTATGAGAAGAGGGAAATATAACATGTTGTGACCACTGGAAAGATCTGTGGAAGGAGGGATAGAGGAAGACAACGAGAGAAGATTCTTGACAGTCTTGTTGCATGGCATGGTGGTGTGTCGGCACACGAACTGATACATGCTGCAGGTGATCGTGGATTATGTAGAGGCCTGATCGCCCACGTCAGTCAGCAAGGCACCTGATGATGATGAGTTGTAATCCTATCGTCACTGGACTATAGGTTAGTTAGTAAACGTTTTTTTTTGTGGTGCGCCAGTTCAACTGTACCGTGTGGCTGTACAGTTGAAAGGGGTTTTCGTAATTTATAGCCATTTGATTCTTATCCTTGGGATGTTAATTCTTGTCATCATCAAGTGCCTGGCCAGCTGGCGAAAGCGTTCATGCATCTCCACAGATCTCGGTCTCTGGTGTTTAGGATCAATTCCAATGACGATATTCTCCCATTCTAATGTCCTAATCCATCCATCATCATTTCTCTTGGTCTGTCTATGCCACTTCTACCAGTGATTCTTTTCAGTCGTCACGATATTTTTCAGTTATCCTTTTCTCATCACATGACCAAATAATTTTGTCTCCTTCTCATTGTTGTATATAATGTTCTACTCTCATTAGCCATTTCCAGGCAATCATTGTTAGTTATTTTTGCAGTCCAAGGTATTCGCAACATTCTTTTACGGAATGAAAATCTGGCGGGAACAAACGTTAAATAATTATTATTATTATTATTATTATTATAACAATAATAATTGCCATCTGCCTTGCAAAACACGTGAAAGTAGCTAACAGTGTCTGCTGTCGAAGAGTGTAATGGAGATTTTGAAACAGGTCTTATCGTAAAACTAATGAGCTGAGGTATTCTTCTTTGTAACTGTATGCTTGTCCATTTGTTGTTTTATGCTGACAAAGGCTTTTTTCCTGCAACGCTCATTGGATCGTTCGCAAGGTTGGTGTGTAGCGGCCAGGCGTGCTTGTAACGGTTGTAATCGCCGCTTACATTTTACATTACCAAATAAAATGCATAATTTTTAATTTTAATGTTTACTGTTTACTATTAGCCGGAAAAACGGAAACCGCCGTGGTCTAGCGGGCCTATGGGTCGGAAGTTCGTGGGTTCAGATCCTGACGGGGGCAGGAATTTTTTTTTTTTAAATGACTTTGGCTTCCAGTTCGACCCAGCCTTGAGTGGGTACCAGGTACAGTCCTGGGAAGTTAAGGTGCTCGGCGTAATGCTGACCACATTACCCACCAAGTGCCGATTGGTCTATAAAATATAGGTCTAGCCCTATATACCCAATACGCCTGAAGGCGTGGAAAAGTACATTTTGGCTACAATACACCACACGGTTTACATCTCGAGCATCGCGAAACAATGTTTGCTGCATGTTTACGCCGCTCAGGCAGAAGCTGTAGCATGGAAAAGCTACCGTTATCAGTACTAAGATGCTAAATGCGCACGCATACTCTCAACAGTGAAGCGAAGAGGAGAAAAGTAACACGTGATACCCTCTCCACTGTAATCGTTACACGCTAACGCTTATATGTGCGAACTGACCATGCCTCGCCACTGGTATTGTTAAGTGACAATGTCCAATCCTACCCTTTGTTGCCTCTTACGACATGCCTGGTAGGGTGTAGTGTCACTATTCTTTGCTTCCCGTGAGGGCCCCGGTGACACACCGGCGTTGAATACTTGTATAGAATGTAAAATAAATTTGCAGAATAATTTACAACTGCAAATTTACAAGAATCTGGACATAAACTCCATGGCTTCCCGCCAATCAACGCTCGTATAGAGATGTAATACAATATTTGAATGGCGGATTTTGTACTTATCAATGGACTATCAAATCTGAAGACAGTCTTTTGCCAGTTAATCTCAAACTTATCTGGAAATTATTAAATTAAAAAGCTTATCTCTGATCAGTGATTCAATAACAAACAACACCACCACCATCATCACTACCGCCACCGCCACGACAACAACAACAACAAAACAACATCGACAACAAAAAGACAGGAAAAAATCTATCTACTTGAAGACTGTGTATTGAACTCTATGATTGTGGAATGTATGCTTGTTTTTTTTGGGGGGGGGGTGGGTGGGAGGGGAGGGGGGGGGGGGGGAATAGAGAAGATAAGTGTTATGTATAACCTCTGAATTTTAACAAACATTACATCAGTTTTTTTAAGGAGTGTGTGAGAAAGGGGGCGAGAGAAATGAGAGGTATAGAAGTATGAAATAATCAAAGAAAGAAAGAAAGAAAGAAAGAAAGAAAGAAAGAAAGAAAGAAAGAAAGAAAGAAAGAAAAGAAAGAAAGAAAGAAAGAAAAAGAAAAGAAAGAAAGAAAGAAAGAAAGAAGAAAGAAAGAAAGAAAGAAAGAAAGAAAGAAAGAAAGAAAGAAAGAAAGAAAGAAAGAAAGAAAGAAAGAAAGAAAGAAAGAAAAGAAAGAAAGAAAGAAAGAAAGAAAAGAAAGAAAGAAAGAAAAAGAAAGAAAGAAAAGAAAGAAAGAAAGAGAAAGAAAGAAAGAAAGAAAGAAAGAAAGAAAGAAAGAAAGAAAGAAAGAAAGAAAGAAAGAAAGAAAGAAGGAAGGAAAGAAAGAAAGAAAGAAAGAAAGAAGGAAGAGAAAGAAAGAAAGAAAGAAGACAGACAGACAGACAGACAGACAGACAGACAGACAGACAGACAGACAGACAGACAGACAGACAGACAGACAGACAGACAGACAGACAGACAGACAGACAGACAGACAGACAGACAGACAGACAGACAGACTGACAGACAGACAGACAGACAGACAGACAGACAGACAGACAGACAGACAGAAGAGAACAGACAGAAAGAACAGAAAGAAAGAAAGAAAGAAAGAAAGAAAGAAAGAAAGAAAGAAAGAAAGAAAGAAAGAAAGAAAGAAAGAAAAAAGAAAGAAAGAAAGAAAGAAAGAAAGAAAGAAAGAAAGAAAGAAAGAAAGAAAGAAAGAAAGAAAGAAAGAAAGAAAGAAAGAAAGAAAGAAAGAAAAGAAAAGAAAAGAAAGAAAAAAGAAAGAAAGAAAGAAAGAAAGAAAGAAAGAAAGAAAGAAAGAAAGAAAGAAAGAAAGAAAGAAAGAAAGAAAGAAAGAAAGAAAGAAAGAAAGAAAGAAAGAAAGAAAGAAAGAAAGAAAGAAAGAAAGAAAGAAGGAATTCGGCCTCTAGCCTACTAACCCCATTCATTCCACACCAGTTCTGCTGGAGTCCCATGGCGATAGCGATTATTAAAGGCCTCCTCATTGAGGGTGTCACAAATAACTTGAAGAATGAAATCTGTGAGGGTATCACATTTCTAAATTACAAACAATCTTAAAAATAACATCTACGAAGTTATAATTTTTTTTTTTTTTTTTAGTTAGAAACACTATTTTAAAACACACATAATAGTATTTTTTTCAGTTACAAACACTATTTTATAACATATCTTATAATTTTTTTTTTAGAAACACTATTTTATAACATATAATGTTTTTCGGTTACAAACACTAGTGTATAACTTATGTAATACTATTTCTCAGAAATAATAATTTGTAACATATATTATAATTATTCTAAGTTAGAAACACTATTTTATAACATATCTCATAATATATCTGCCAGCAATATTATTTTGCAACATATCTTATACTATTTTCAAGTTAAAAATTTAATTTTATAACATACCTCATAATATTTCCCAGTTAGAAACACTATTTTATAACATATAATATATCTCAGAAACATTGTTTTGAATAAACAGTAATGATGAAAGAGCTGACAGGCTGGCTGGATCCGCTATCACAACCGACGGTCAGCCTATGGATCATGCTGATATTATCAATGCCCTCATAGAAATGGGAAGGATAGAGGACTTTGGTGGCAGTGAATCCACATCACTCGCCAGAATGGCAGACTTGGGATTTAAGATCGGCATAGCAAAAAACGAGACGCACACCAGACACGCCGGAAGACTTGTTAATCAACATATAACTGGTACTAATAGCCATCGGACGTTGGGGTTCATACTGAGGGGAGGATCTGAGCTCCTATGGACATGTCCGGAGTGCAACGATGATAACCCAACTAACTAACTCACTCACTAACTAATGATGAGGATACCTGCGATTCTGTAGTCGATTCTGCCATTTCTTGACGGATTTCTTTCAGATCCTCATTCACATCCTCGCTCCCTCGAATTATCCGTAAAGCTGTGTTTTTTTTTTTTTTTTCAATAAAAGAAGGAAAGAAATTAATAAAACTCACTTTTTTATCTCCACATACACACACATACGCACAAACAGTACACACATACCCCCGCAACCCCCCCCCTCCCCCCCCACCCCCTACACACACACACACTGAAAGTTACAACAAAAACTAATTTGTTTTTCTCCTAAATTCACACTTCTCCATAATTCTGTCCTTTGCTTCTGTTCTGTTTTTCTGTTTATCTCGTTTCTCTCTCTCTCTCTCTCTCTCTCTCTCTCTCTCTCTCTCTCTCTCTCTCTCTCTCTCTCTCTCTCTCTTTCTCTTTCTTTCTCTCTCTCTCTCCCTCAACTTTTTATTTCTCCTCTTTCTTTGCTTTCTCTTCCTCTAGCCCCATTTGTATGCCGTATCATTGTCTCTCATTCTGTGCCTTCTTCCTCTGTCGCTTTTTTCTCTACCACGACTTTTTCTGTCTCTTATTATTCTTCCTCCTCGTATGTACCATTCCGTTCCCCCCCCCTCCCTTTTTTTTCTTTCTCTTCCGTCTCTCATCTTCTTTTTCCTTCTTTCTCTTATTCTCCTCATGTCTATCCCTTACTATATCTTCGTTGAAGATAGACCATTGACCATTTATTATGATGCTTTTAACTCATTGTAATCGCGTCTCTATTTCGTGTTTCACAAATAGAATCCCCTACAGTCTAACCATACATATATATGAAAGCTTAATAAAACAACTGCACTAAGCAGCCAGCACACGTATGATGATCAGTGCAATATACAAGAAGAGAATATGACAAACTTCATGAATAAACAAAGTACGTTAGTAACAGACTAGTAAGGGCATATCTTACATTCTCGTTTATTGTTCATACCTTAGTATTATATAATGAATGCTGAATAAATAAATGAATATATTTATAAGTTCCAGAGCCTCTACTAAGCCCCCGTTTAATCAGTGTACGCATTTCCTGTCTGTTCATTGCAATGTCCAATTGATCCTATAGCGCGCTCACCACATCCGCTTTATCATATAGTTGCTAAGAGGGGCAGCAGCTGATCTATCAGCCTCTACGTTACCTCGCACACCTGCATACTGTGGACAGAAAATCCATGATAGTATTATATATCGGCTAGGTAGCCAGTGACTAGCATGTTTTCTTATCGATGTCGTGATCGCGACATGAAATCTTTGTCCAGTAACAAACTAATCAACTTGCCCCAACCTTATAACACCCTTGATATTCCTTGAGAGGTAACAAGACAATGCAGCTTAAAGTTGCTAGTTGCGATTTTGAACATTACCGAAAGAACACGAGAGAAAACTAACCACTTTTTCGTCATTTTAAAGCCCCACCCTGGCTGGGGCAGGGGGTCATTAAATAACCTAAAGGTTGAACGGGGTGTCCGTTACCTCTCCCCGGGTGATCCTTATCCGAATGATGGCACTTTGTGTCAACTGGTGTTTATCGCTCTGTGTAATGTCCTAGTGGGTAAATCTTACTATACTACTACAACCGCTTGTGAAATGAGACGTTTGAGGGACGCCACGAACAAAACCAGAAGAGATCGTATGAGAAATGAAGAGGTTTAAAGAACAAATCGAACAGTACCGATTGTTAAAATCACTGAAAAAATAAAGACTGAATGGGTTTAGCCACCTAATGACAATAAATTCAACGAAAGCATTCAATATGAAAATGAAAACATCAATAGGCAGAAGGGAACCTAACAAAATATAAATTGATGGACAGTATAAGACCTCACAAAATCCAACATACCAAGCCACCAAACTCGGCCGACAACTGTATGTGCATAAAACATAGACATGAACAACTGCGACGTCTACCGGCAAAAAAGAAGAAGAAAGAAATATTGTTCACACATACGATTCCCAGGATCATTCTAGTCTACCAGTGGATACCTGACATGTCTTGGAAAGTAAAGGCCATCATCGGTTTAATAAAGGCCGTCGTCGGTTGAATATTTGCCACAGCACGAACTGATTTGTTTGTTATGAACTGATACAGTTATTATCAAGGAGGCCAACACACACATATGCACGCACACTCACGCGCGCGCACACGCACTTTGGGGAAGAGGGGAATCCAGTCCTCTTATAAATGTTATTGTGTGTCTCAGGGAGTCTGCCTTGTTTAAATGCTGAATAATAATACCAATAATAATGGTGCGCTGAATTGTAAAAATAATTATTTGCATACATACATATACATTTGTTTATCTATATATCTACGGATATAGAAATGTATGTATACCAAGATTTATATAGAACGGTACAACCTCTAAGGGTTTGTCACCAGGGATACCAGACACTTTACCTTATCTATGCATATAAAAATGTATATATACACCAAGATTTATATAGAACGGCACAACCCCTAACGGGTGGTCACTATGGATACCAGACACTTTACCTTATCTACGCATACATAAATGTAAATATACCAAGATTTATATTGAACGGCACAACCCCACCAGGGATACCAGACACTTTACCTTTAATAGCGCCCGCCTCGTCGTTTTTCTTGACCAGCAAATATCTAGGATTTTGTGGACAGAACGGCAGCAGGATCAACTGTAGGCCCAGTAAGATAATCGGGAAGCCTGCATTGGAGGATGAATAATGATTAAGCTGTTAGAGTTCACTGAACGTCAAATTTGACTAGAACAACTACAACAGCAAAACAAATTATTGGGAATGGTTCTGCAAGGTCCTGTAAAGGATACGCAATTAACTAACTGTTATAGCTCAGATTTAGAAAGAAAAACGTTGGCAGCATAAAGTAAAGGCGTCCCTGTGAATTATTTTACATTAACATTTTTCGCCTCTGCACGGGACAGCCATTTCCGGGTGTCGGGACTAATAAGTGCCCTGCTCTGCTTATTTGTAGGGGTCCACTTGTGTTGTTGTTGTTTGTGTTCACCTGCTATAAACCCCGGCGGAAAGACATGTTTGTTCGTCCATTTCTGGACTTTGGCTTTGTTACAGGACCTGAGTTTTGTGTGTGCATCCGGTTTACAGATCTTGCCTTTTTGTATGCAGACTTGCCTTTGAGGCAGATGCACTTCGACTTTGAAAGAAGCCCCCAGTTAGTCGACTCTTACGACATGCTTGTTGGGGAGGCAGTCGGTCTATTCTTGATTTCGCCACAATGGGAACCCGGAACTTCTATGGGGAAGTCCAGTTGTACATTCGGATACTCAGAACCACGAGCTGAGTTTACCACACAGTGTGACAATACGCGCGGTGACTTCAGAATGTCTTTCCTCAACCTACTTTTATTTCTTTGTATTTTGAAAGTATACAGGAAAATAGGGATTTGGATACATCCTTAATCTAAGTAGGCGAAATGAACAAGCATTTAATTCTCCTGGGATGTTGGCGATATCACACACTAAAACTTTTCCCCAGACGTTAAGTGTTGAGGTACAGAGATAAGACTGACCAAGCAGACTTACTGACTAGAGATTTGCACACCATCTGTTGGTGTCAGATATTTTATCTCCTAGCCAGACTTTTAGGAGCAGCTAACTCCGGCTAATTGTGTTTAATTCCCCCTGAGGTTACCTAACTCGACGGCAGGTCCGACGGTCACTATTGACACAGTGAGCGGAAAGTGTTGGCAGAAGAATTGACAAAGTCGGATTTTATTGTGATGACAGGTGAAGTAGACTAGAGGTGTGACTTGTCTTATTTGCTCTGGTCAGATGAATTGACCAGGAGATCCTAGCGTGGGAATTTAAACAAGTGTTGTACAGCCCTGACTGACAGTGAATAAACTTACCCACAAGGGAGGAGCTGTGATATCCTTGAATGAGAATGATTTTAGGCGTAATGTAGGAGGAGCTTGATAAAAGTTATAAAGGGCTGAACTCTAGGTCTGGTAAATGAGATCCTGTCTAGCACATGCCATCTGTTGGGCTTAACCTAAGCTTGAGACAGAACTTTTGGCATCGTGGTTTCATTTTTCCAGGTAAGATCGAAATTAGGTTCAAATCTATATTTTATGATAGAGTTCTAACTGTCTTTTTACTCAAGTGTGTGTCTTCATCACTTTGTAGTACTCCTAGGCGGACATTTCTTCATTCTCGTAGGGCACTGTCACATTGCTTTATATCCTATTTGATAGTGTCATGAATGTTTTTTTCGTGCACATGTGTTTCAATGTTGTAAAACCTAAATGTTGTTGTTGCCATTGAAATTAAATGAACTATCATGTTTTAGAAATCACAAGCGTGAAGATAACTTTGGCAATCTTTTCACGTGTGGTTAATGTGAATCTGTATTACATACAGCTTACACACTGAAATGTGTTTAACTCTCGGGAGTCTAATGCGGAGATTGATCCCGGAGAGTAAATCCACGAGATTTGTTATTTGATTCGCCCCAGAACTATTGTTAGCATTCTGGGCGCGTCGATTGTTCCAAGCATAGATTCCAGAACTGGTTCTGTCTGACTGATTGTCATTTTGAGTCTGTACGAGAGATGGCACCTGACGTAGAAGACTTGACTATCATTACAGGACGTGTAGAGGAAGGCAGAAGCTGTAACAGTTGGAATGTGAGACATAAGCCCTTCCAAATTGGACAGGAGTGAATGTGAGCATGAGGGAGAGATGAAATGTTTTATTTAAATAAACATGCTTGATGTTAGTATAATATACATGCTTAGTGTACATCTAGAGCAGATACTACAAATATGCGCTTGTTTCTTCATTCTCCAGTTCCCACATTGGGCAGGGACTAGTAGGCATCCATTATTTGCCGACCGTCGAGTGTAACGACCTGCAGAAAGCAGTGAGGACGACAAACTGGAAAATATAAGCAGGGTCTCAAGCCGAGAACTGTCCAAAGGTTGTTACTTTCCTATACCTTTATGATTTCATCACTCACATCATTCCAACTCTACTAGCCTAAACAAGTTCATTTTAATTTCGATTTATTCAAATAAATCATGGTTGATGTTAAAACCTAGTTGAGTAAATTGTGTACTTAGGTTCAAGTGTCTTTGTGCATATTAGTTTACTTCAGCTAACAAATATTTAAATCACTTGATGGGGGCTTTTAAGTAATGCCAGGAGAGGAGAATAGTCGCAGGGGTTAACTGTGTATCGAGATAATATCACAGTGGGTGTATCCTGATATCTATCTATCCCTTCTCCTACTCCTGTGGATACAAGTACAGCAACTTTCATTTCATGGAACGAGCCACTCGCTGTTTTCTTGGCTATCCAGGACTGTCTAGGATCAACATAGCTTAGATAATAGTCCAGTTTCTCACGTGGGTGGGCATTGTTTAGGATCAAACCCACACCCTCACTATATCAGTGTATTTACCCACGTGGGCGCGCGACACACAGCTGCGAGCAGTCCAATCACCTTCACTCGGATGTGCAGTTGAAAGATGCAACAGTGTTGGTTCATGCTGATTTTTTCGTGTTTGTAGGGCTTCTTCTTCTTCTTCTTAAAGTCCATGCCGTGTGGCTTTGGAAGTCATGTTTATCCACAACCTTCTGCCTCGTGTACTTTCAAATAACTTTGACACAGATGATCTTTCATGCCATGATGTTAAACCACCCAGCATCTGTTCTCTCGGTCTCCCTCTGTCTTTCCTCCCCACCAACTTTCCTACAGTCACGATATACTCTAGTTTTCTCATTCTCATCATATGAGTACTTTTGCTGGTGAAATGTGGGCTTTCGTGATTGAGCGTTTGTGTCAAAAGTGTCCTGCAGTTATGATAAAAAGGGCTCCTTACATAAACTATAGTTGAGAACAAATTTTGAAGGAAACAGAGCAAGAGACAGACAACGATACAATTGAAATGGTAATAAGAGATTGACAAGCAGCAAACAGGAAATTGTATGTATCTAGGGCAAGAGAGCGGTGCAGACTTTGCAGACCAAACATTTATCGTAGAGACGGCACCTGACTGACTGATTGATTGACTGACTGACCGAAATTTATCCTTGGTCATGCACAATATGCCTCCGTGCTTCTCTATCTACAGTTCACACTGCAGCTGCAGGTTATCACATTTAGTTTTTTACTGTACTTCATTTGATTCCGATTGTCATTGAAAATCGTTCTTGGTGCCGCGTCTGCCGTGAGTGCAGTAACATGCCGACGCTTACATTAGTCAATGCTATCTATCATCACGAATGATATAAATAACAATCCAGCCAAACTTTAATGCCAAGTAGCAAATAACGTTGTTTGATTACTGATAAGAAATCAACGGATGAACTACTCATATCTTGCAATTTAAAACGTTCGTGAGAAAAAAGAAAGCACTAATGTGGATTATTCTTTATATGAGTCAGAAATGTCAGTATTACTGTTTGTCATTCTGTTTCTCCCTTCACCCGGCTATTGAGATGAGTGCTTAGTACGACACTGTGAGCTGTTAATTTATTTTAAGCGGAGTTTTTTCCCCCTGTCTTTTGTGCTTACTGCTTGTTGTTGACTGCACTAACATGGCAGTGGCAGATTACGATCACAATGGTGAGTACTTTTGCGGGTAAAATGTGGGCTTGAGTGATTGATTGTTAGTGCCAAAAGTTCTTTTTTTCATCGAACACCGGCTGTGAATTCCAGTGGAAGGTCCCGGTTAATCGTCCGCTTGGACTTTTGGCTTTCACCTGGACCTGATTTTTGCGTGTACAACCGTTTTTCATTTCCCTGCCTCTTGGGCAGCTGTACGCCGACTTCGAAGGAAGACGTCAGGCCTATTTCTAGGGTGACTGTGGCCATTGTTTTGTGTGGGTCGAGACTTTGCCTGATTTGTGTGGTGTCCGCCTTGTCTCCTTCGCCGCAGGTATTGCCCCCGGAGTACCCCTTTGGGGCAGCCCCCTGTGGAACAGTTGGCCCTCAAGGGAAGGCAGGGGCAGATCATGGGCATTCCCCGCCATCCAAGGAGGCTTCCATGCATGCAGAGCCGGCACATGGCGCTCTGGTTCTGGGCTCGCCCAAGGAATCGTCACGTCCTGCACATGCCTGCTTAACCTCACAACCGTATCAGGCCTCCTGCTCGACAGGGGCTGCGCCCTCTGGAAGTCAGCGGGGAGCAGCCCGTGGGTTTTGAACTTTTGTGACCACACAGATAGGTACATTAGCCCGACAGAATTTCACATCCTGAATCAGGCATATCGTTATCAGTTTTGTCCCAACACTCGGGCGAGTGGGGTCTTTGGGTGTGGACATTCGGCCTTTTTCAGTTCAGTGCAAATTTTGATGGTCAGATTTTGATCCGTATGATCTAGTTTTGTCGGACATTTAGGCTTAGCCATCCGATGGATGGTTGCTGTTGTGGTGTACCACAGCGCGGTGACGACGACACTGAGGGTTAACCGAGGATGTACGTGACTGGCCAGCCTATGGATGGTTGCTGTTGTGGTGCACCTCAGCGCGGTGACGACGACACTGAGGGCCAACCGAGGATGCACAAGGATGGCCAGCCCATGTATGGTTGCTGTTGTGTTGCACCTCAGCGCGGTGACGACGACACTGAGAATTAACCGAGGATGAGCGATGAGCAATGTTCTCTTTACTCAGCAGTCTTTTAACCAAGGGTTGTAATTTTAGCTGTACTTTTGTCAAACCTACTCATGTTCCTGGTGAGTTTTGATAACATTTTTCACCCAAGCGTTTGGGGGCGGGCTGATGAGAGCCACAAGGACACATCACCTCTGGGGGCCGCCAAACTCCGAGATCCCCTGACAGCTCTGTTAATGCTCATTTGAGACATTATCCGTGGCGCACGACGAGGACGTGCTGTAGGGGTCTTGCGTGAGGTTCCGTACAACCAGGATAGTAAAGGACTGGCGCCCGAGTGACGTACGGAGTATCTCCTTATACACATCATGTTGGACTTAACTTCCCCTCACGCCTGTGACATAAATCACCGCGCCACAGTGCCAACAGTGAGCTGCAGTTATGTTGTGGGACCGTTAATTTTGGCCTTACGCATTCCCCCCCCCCTCCCCCCCCCCCTAACCCCTGTGTGTAAGCTTGAAGATTTTGCTGGATCTGGTGCAGCAACGGAACAGTCATGGGGTGAATCGTTTGCAGTGATGTTGGACTCGACTGTCTAACTTTCTATATGTCATAGTTCTCTTAGCTCTTTCTCTCTAGTTGAATAATCTAACTGTGGCAATGAGGTTAGTGAATGCGTTTCAAGCTTCACAATCCTCAATGTAGCAGGTTTTTTGTCTTGCATGGATGGTTTATTAAAAAAAAAACCTGTTTCCTGTCACTAATACAGTGGCACGAGTGTGACACTGTGGAATATTCGTTTAGACACTTTTGGATGGGTGCACTGCAAGGAACCGCCATTGTGGAGTTGGCATGTAGTTTGTTTTAAATTCTAATTGAAATCTAAACTTGTATCCTTTCTTCTTCTTCTTCTTCTTTTTTCTTCTTCTTCTTGTTCTTCTTCTTCCTATTATTATTATTATTCTGCGCTCATCCGAAGATATCAATGCCGTAAGTCGTTTCGTTTACAGCATGGTTGCGATTTTTGCGCCTTTCGGCTGAAACATGCCACTTCTGCAGGCGTGTGTTGACCCGGTTAGACTTCCCGGCATGTGTTTTATTTTACTGGTATCCTCTCTAAGCGCAATCATTTGCTACTTCCGGTAACGAGCTCTCCAACGAGTTAAAAGTAATATCAGCATAGGTCTGATCACGGCCATCTTTAGCTATAAATCTAGAGTTGGCGGTGGTCTGATAGAGTTAACTTTACTAACCAATCAAATATGGCCAATAGTCGGTGTTGCCTAGCAACTCTTCATATCCAAACACTTGAGCTATAAAGAAAGCTGAACTTTGACTGACAATGTTAGCCATGGCCGCTGCTCCTTTTTGATGAGATCGACACATCTCCATAATATAAGGCGGGGCGAGACTGAGACCCCATCCTGGAATAAAAAAAGATAAAGTAGCTTTGACATGTGTGTTTATTGGGTTCTTTTCTGTTATTTCACCACATCACGGGGCCCTCGTGGTTTTGTAGGGAACCCCCATAGTAAAGGGGTGGGTATGTGGGGGGGGGGGGGTGTTAGGGTTAGGCTTAGAAGTAGACGTTATTCAGTTAACACTAGCCCTAACCCTAACTCCCTTATACTATGGGACGATCTGGGGATACCAAATCTCAGTGGCTCCGTGTTGGGGTGAAGAAACAAAAGAGAATAGTTTATTGATAGCACCTAAGTAAGATGATACATAAGCCATTAAATTTTCGTTATTCAGAGGCATGTAGACCGCGACATGGTCAGTCTCACTATCCAGTATACACTTCCCTCTTCTACTGCTACTGCTATACTCCCCTCTAAAAGGGCGGTTGGCACGTAGTATTGTGGTTTACAGCTTGACTGTGATTCTAAGTCTTTCGGTGAATATATTGAATTAGGGCAAACCATTATTTAGTCGCATGCTAGGAGGTAGTGGGTCGACTCATTTTTTCCAAAATATGGGGGTCTGTGACCCAAATGAGAGCATCACACACCCGTCGTCTGCTGTTGACCACAGAGGTTTTCTAGACATTTTTTCTTCGATCTTCAGTTATACGGAATTCATCACATTTAATGTTCATCAATTTCTCCATGTATTTGTTTTCCAATGCATGTAATTTTTTATTACGGTTCTCTAGCCTTCACCAGCAGCTGTTAAAGTTAGTCGAACCACTCAGTTCATAAGTGCACGGATTCCCTCCTCAGTAAATTCCGGGGTGTAGCGGCTAACGACACCAGTTCTGTGTTGATTTATTATTCGTCTTTGGCTACCCGCGTAGTGTTCTTGTTTGGCGACACCCCGTTTAACATGTTGTTCTTGCAGTCTGACCATGGTTGCAAATTTACAGTTCACAGTTGGTTCACGCAAACTTCTTAACTCTCTTAGAGCATTCAGTATATCAGTCTGGTCAATGGCTTGTCCGGCTTTCACAGTAGCCTTAGCTGCAAGTGTATCAGCTTGCTCATTTTCTTGTACCCCTGGCACGAAAATAAAACTAATCCTTTTCAGCCGTGAATTTTGTAAGGTGTTAAAACCGAAGTAAAACTACAATTGAAGAATCAACTATATAACTATATAAAGTAGATTTCGACACTTTATTCAGGCTTTTAGAAACTGCTTTTGAATTACTGGTGTATATCATAATGTTTCCCCTTGACAGTCAAAATTACTACCTGAATAAGCCAGATAAATAGAGGGTACTATAGTCCAGTAAATCCACACAAAAGAGAATAAATTGTTTAGATTGTGTTGTCATGAACATCCATTCAGTGCAACTCATAAGACCCTTTACTTTAATGGTTCTGATAACCAGGATAAAACTAATTTTTGTTTTGTTTTTTGTCACTGTCATAAATTCTTGCTCCAGTTATCAAACCGTCTGTCTCTCTTTGGAAAAAAAAAGACTTGCTCATAATTTCGAAATTCTGAGCCACTGGAAAATGTAATTATGTTTTCACTTTTCCTTTCCCCCCAATTTATATTCCTTTCCGTTCCTATTTGTTTTGGGAACAAGGTAGTGGTAAAGCTAGAGGCTTACTTAGAGTCCCAAAGATATTGGGTTCGAATCAACAAGAGGTGGAGGTTTTTTCTATCAAGTGCCAATTGATCTATAAAAATATAAATCAAGATTAATATATCTGATATATTCACGGCTTAAAAAGGGTCTTATTCGTTTTTCTCTTCACTTTTGTATTTGGTTTCGTAATAGCTCTTCTTGTATCTTTTGTAAGATAATTTCTGCTTTGATGTAAACATGTGGTATAGAAACGTTCGTTTACTATTGTGCACATATTTTTCTTTCCCTCCAAAGAATTTTGTTGTCATAATTTGTGTCATCTAAAGTTACGTGATTAAGTGAAAGGATATATTTCAGATATGAAAAAAGGTATACCTAGAGCTAATCCATTGACTGCCCGCCCAACAAACAGCATCTCGTAAGATTTGCCGACGGTACACAGTGCCATTAGCAGGGTGCCTACGATTCCAATGACTGCAGACATGATCAGAGCATACTTCCTGAAAAAGACAAATCAAGACAAAGGCAGTAAGGTAACGCCATCATCATCATCATTGTCCTGTTGTACTCACATGTGTCACACAGGGCTAGCAGTCTAATCCTCCCTTCCGGTTCATCCTGTACAATATTATGTATGGAATCTGGTCTAGCACTTTTGGCCTCTTTCATCAATGTTCGTTTTGTGTGTGTGTGTGTATGTGTGTGTGTGTTTGGTGGGGGTGGGGGGAGTCGTTTTCACACCTCCTTATTCAATTTATTTCCCATTTTAGTGCCTGTCTGGTGATTGATTCTCTGTTCATTTCTTCTCACGATGTGTCCAGTATAGCGTTATCGTTTCTGTCTTGTAACTGTTGATACTAGTTGTTGACACGACATTTTTATTATTTCTTCATGCCTCTTAAATACTTCCAATTTTATATTCAACATTGACTTCAGTTGTTGATTTTTTTTTAAATGCTTTGAACTTTCGTTTCATATCTTCAGTTGCGCTCCAATGTACACTGGAATTTGTTAAACCCGTCAGCGATGAGGTTTTATTGAAGAATGACGAGAGCACGATAGAAAAGCAATAAAACAAAAAAAAAATTTTTACGCCATTTCCCGACAAAGAACAGGGTTCATCATCAACTAGCAGATCCTTTACAGGACATCGCTTTGGTCACGTCACGAATAAAAGTTTTTTTATCGCCAGTTATCCAGCCCTATGTGCTTTCATAGATAATGCATCTTCAATGGCCTGTATCCACGTTCGCGGAGCTCTGCCCCTGCCTTGTTTTCCGAAAACTGTACCCTCCATAACCGTTTACTCCAGGCCATCAGGATGCCTAAAATGGTCAGAATACTTCAACATTTGAGACAGGGTGCTGTTTACCAGCCAGTTCTTCTCGATGATCAGATCACATATTGGATGTAATTTTTTTGGGGATGGGGTGGGGGGGGGGGGGTCTTCCTGATCCATGGAATTTTTCTATAGCATTTAAGATCAAAGGCTTCGATTTTTTTCTTCAATGACTAACTTAGAGTCCCTGAATCCCACCCATATTTTACATGGGAATGATGCATGCTCAATGAATGATGTCAAGCAACAAGTTTGGCCATATATCAAGACTGGCATCAGACTGGGCACCACAAAGAGCGGTGCTATGCACATACAAAGGTAATTGAGCCAGAGGTCCACCACGCAGAGAATGGATCGCAAAAATATCAGAGACACTGAAAAGTACCTTAAACGAAGCGAATAGTAGGTCCCGCTGCAGAGATCTCTTTCCGCCCTGAGGCCGCGAGTCATTCCAGGAGTAGAGACAAAAATAAGAGGACTGACCAGTCGGCACTAATCCGGTAAGGTGGCCAACATCATGATGGTCTTTACTTTCTGTATCATTGTCTGGTACCCACTTTAGGCTGAGTTAGCGTGGAAGTTATTGGTCAATGACAAACATCGGCCCAGGTGTGGGTTTGAACCCAAAACCTTCGGATCATCCGGCTTGCATTGCGTTACAGATGCTCTCTACACAAGTATGAATTTAATTTTAAAAATAACAAATACGTAAATAAATAAATAAATAAACCTCAGTGAATAGGAGGAGGAGGGTGAGGAGGGAAAGAAGAAGAAGACGGAGGTGGATGAGGAGAAGACGGAGATGACGACGACGATGATTTAAAGCAGAAGAAGAACCTCACCTGCCAATGAGATCAGCAATACTGTCAGCAGTCAATGAAGCAAAGCCAGCACCGATACCAATCACCGCCACCAGTAAACCATACATCGATTCAACTTGCGACTCTGTAAACGGCTCCCCAGTTCTCTCTTGTTCCGTCTCATTCATGAAGATCTTGATGAGCTGTGATGAGCATTGAAGTGCGTTACTATAATAAAGAATGCACGACAACAATGAGGGTCAGATAATTTTGAATAAACATCGTCCCCTAACAGTGTGGGTCGTTTGTTTACCAGTTGTTGCTGACTGTTTGAAACGCCCCCACCTCCTTCCCTCAATCTTTGATGGTCTGATGAAATGGATTTCATGGTTCTATGCCTAAGGCCTGTTCAGCCAGTCAAGCTTTGCATCCAGGTCTTTCTTGGTCTGCTTCTTCTCCTTTTCCCCTCTGCTGCACCCTGTAGTCTTGTTTTTGAGAGGCCGTTAGAGCCTAAATGTCCGTATTATTGCATTTTCCCTCTTGTCACTGTTGTTAGGAAAAGGTTCATACTAGCCAATGTGCTGGGTAATTATATGGCGAACCTCGTCATTTGTGACGTGTTATCTGTGTGATACGCCAAGAATTTGCTGAACGATCTGGGTTCCAATGCTTGTATCTTCTTTTCGAGTTCAACTGTTCGAAGAACACTAACAGACACACGTTTTAAATAGATATTAAATTTTCAATCTTTTTTTTTCGTTTGGAACCGAGGTGGCTCAGTAACAAAATGCTTGTCGGAGCGTGTTGAATCTCGAGTTCGAATCATTACCCAGGTGGATTTTTGGTAGTGACCTATAACTCTCAAGTTGGTCCAAACTAAAAATAAGTACCGGGAAATTACATGGGAAGTAAAGATGGATAGTGTAATATTAGCAATATAACTCATACTAGGGATTTTTTGTGAAAGAAAAAGGTGCTGATACTGACGATAAAGAGGATCGGCTGGTCGAACAGTTAAAAATGCTAGACTCTCATAGGGAGACGGGTTCAAATCCATGGTGAAGTTTGCGATTTTCTGTCAGGGGCCTAAAAAAAACCTGACCTGCACAGTCCGTGGCGACAGCACTAGCCATGCGGCCCTAAAACCTCAGGCTCACCCCCCCCCACCCCATCCCACCCCCCCCCCACCCCATCCCACCCCCCCCCCCCCCCCCCTTACGCCCCCTACACCGCACAAGCGGTAAATAAAGGTAGTACTGGATGTTTTATTTTTTATTTTACTGACGACAAAGTGTTTTACAAAGGTGCCGGTACTCGCCACAGAAGTGTTTTCTACAGTAACTCTTTAAAATGAGGCCTCAGAAAAGATGCCAATACGGCGTACCCTTGCATACAGCCAGAGAAACGCCTTGACTCACACACAAAACAAAACAAAAAGCAGTTCCAGACCTTTACATTTAACATACGTTCAGCTCACTTGTACCAGAAACAGTTACAGATTATAAACAGTTACAGATAATAAACAGTTACAGATAATAAACAGTTACAGATAATAAACAGTTACAGATTATAAACAGTTACAGATAATAAACAGTTACAGATAATAAACAGTTACAGATAAAATGCAGTTTACTTTCATATCATACACAATCCTCGTGTGGGTTCCGGGGCTCCATTGTCCCATTGTGGGAAAACAGAAATGGCAACAACAACAACAAAATGCATGTTATAGAAGTCGAATAATTTGGGGTTTCCTTGGGAAAGAGTGCATCTGCACGAGAAGCAAGAACCAGCAGTCTGCATATAAATTAACCAGATCTAAGCAAAATTACATGTAACAGAATTTCAAAATGATACTCATAATAAAACTTTACAAAATTGTATGTAACCATTTTAAATTACAAGAAGAAGCAAGCACATAAGTAAATGTTTTAAATCATACACGAAAGAAAAGTAATTTTTTTTTTAAACATCGATTATATATGGCACAAATTTAAATTCTAATCAAACACAAAAGAAAATTTTTTGTAACATTCATTACAAATAGCACAAATTCCTATGATAGGCAAAATACACTTTTTAAACATTCATTGCAAATAACACAAATTCCAGTCATACAAAAAAGAAACATTTTTAACATCCATTACATATAACACAAATTCCAATCATACATAAAAGCAAATTTTTTAACATTCATTACATATAACCCAAATTCCAGTCATGCTAAAAAGAAAAAAAAAATTTAACATCGATTATATATAACATAAATTCCAATCAAACACAAAAGAACATTTTTGAACATTTATTACAAGTAACACAAATTCCAGTCATACACAAAAGAAACATTTAGAGATGTACAACTTGTTTCCCCTTACAGTCCATGCGTGTGGCTTTGGTAGTCATGGCTCTTCACTACCTTTTGTCTCAGTCAACCTTCCCTGAGTTCTGATACATATGATCCTTCATGCCATGATGTGAACCTGTCCACCATCTTCTCTAGCCGTGCCCCTCTGCATCCGTCACGCTCAAACTTTCCTACCGTCACGATGTACTCCAGTTTTCTTTCATCTTTTCACAAAGTGACCACAGAATGTAGATCGTACCCTTCTTAAGCGGGAATTAGTTATCTTTATTAAAACAATACAGTAACAAATTCCCCTGGCATATGTGTAACATTTATATGCAATTACAAACATAACTAAATAGATATCCATCGTACAAGCCATTACATACAGGTCAAGGCGAGATAAGAAGCTACACATTGTTACCTGGCTGGGAGCGTTCAGACAGGCTATGGCGTACGACATGGCCGGGATAATTAAATAGGCCACACAGGTGATAGCCACCATCCTCAGGGTCCATCCTCCCTTAAAGATTTAGTACAAGTGTATTAGTGATAAATGAGGCCTAATTGATCGGGTTGTGCCCTCCCGGCAGCTACCTGAAGGTTTACAAAAGTGAGATTTGAAAAAACAAACATTCTAAATCTCACCTAAGACATTAATACATTCTGGTATCTAAGAAAGGTACCCACTCACATTTTCTCCTTATGACTCGCTTCATCGCCTCTCTAGTGTTGGATAGTGTCTCATATTCAGACTAAGGACACATGGCCTTTTTCAGTGTAGGAAATAGGAGGACGTGTCCTTGCAACTTCTTCGTCTTCAGCAATCCGAGCGGTTGAGGTTCGCTGCTGCAGATATCACCCGCCTCCAATCATCTCTCTCTGATTGACCTTCTTTTTCCAGTTAGTAACACCAAGTGTTTGCAGGTCTGTCTGGACATTATCTCTCTATCGTCTGTTTGGTCTGCCTTGTTGTCTACGACCATTCATCTCCTTTGTGTATACAGTTTTTACCTCTCTGTCATCTGACATTCTCTCAACATGGCCCAGCCAATTCAACCTATTAGCTCTCATGATGCCAATGATTAATGATGATGAATTCGATTATGAATTTCGTTGTCCATTACCAGTTGTTTACATCATTGATAGGTCCAGAGATTCGTCCCTGCAACTAATTATATGACAATGCTGAGCATCTGCTCCAAAGTTGTCAGCTGTATGTTGCTTACAGAGAAGCAATCTGGCCTGTTCAGACCTCAATAAAAACAAAGATGTATGGTACACAGGGACATTTGGACTGCATGATAGCTTTCTCAAAGGCTATATACATTTTCTGCACTGACATTTTCTGCACTGTACATGTGGGTAGTGTGGTGAAAATTACGCCGGTCGTCTTTACTTTACCAGAACCTATATCCTGGTACCCATTTTAGGCTAAGTCGACCTACAACGCCCCATACCATAATAAAAATTCTCGCAGCCAGCAGTGGGTTTGGATCCCGGTACGTTGGAATTACGAGTCAGACTCGCAATGCCTAAGCCACAGACGCCGCCTACCCCAATCGATAGCCATTGCTTAATTTTAGGACTTAAATCGGCCGATCGTCTTTTTTTTTTTTTCCTTGACTGATAACTAACCGGCCACTTTAGACATTTTGAACTAATATTATATCAAACACAAATTACAACGAAAAAAAGGACGAAATTAAGAAAAGGCTTTTATTGGTTGTGGGCAAATAGTGACGTTTCGCTCATTTATGTTTATCAGCCATTCATCATATACGAATAATAAAAATAACTATTTTTGCTATTAATGTTATTATTCTTCTTCTTATTATTATTATTGCGTACCTAATCAGGCTCAAGCCCGCACAGAGAAAATCATAAGGGGGTTTATTCCTATTCCCCCTCCTCCCCCTCCCTTCCTCCTGTCCCAAAGATTGTTTTAATTCCTGCGCGTCCGACTCTGATTTGATTGTGGTTTACAGCTAGACTGTGATTCTAAGTCTTTCGGTGAATATATTGAATTAGGGCAAACCATTATTTAGTCGCATGCTAGGAGGCAGTGGGTCGACTCATTTTTTTTCCAAAATATGGGGGTCCATGACCCAAATGAGAGCATCACACACCCGTTGACCACAGAGGTTTTTTAGACATTTTTTCTTCGATCTTCAGTTATATGGAATTCATCACATTTAATGTTCATCAATTTCTCGATGTATTTGTTTTCCAATGCATGTAATTTTTAGTACGGTTCTCTAGCCTTCACCGGCAGGTGTTAAAGTTAGTCGAACCACTCAGTTCATAAGTGCACGGATCCCCTCCTCGGTAAATTCCGGGGTGTAGCGGCTAACGACACCAGTTCTATGTTGATTTATTATTCGTCTTTGGCTCCCCGCGTAGTGTTCTTGTTTGGCGACACCCCGTTTAACATGTTGTTCTTGCAGTCTGACCATGGTTGCAAATTTACAGTTCACAGTTGGTTCACGCAAACTTCTTAACTCTCTTAGAGCGTTCAGTATATCAGCCTGGTCAATGGCTTGTCCGGCTTTCACAGTAGCCTTACCTGCAAGCCTATCAGCTTTTTTTTTTTTTTTCCTTGACTGATAACTAACCGGCCACTTTAGACATTTTGAACTAATATTATATCAAACACAAATTACAACGAAAAAAAGGACGAAATTAAGAAAAGGCTTTTATTGGTTGTGGGCAAATAGTGACGTTTCGCTCATTTATGTTTATCAGCCATTCATCATATACGAATAATAAAAATAACTATTTTTGCTATTAATGTTATTATTCTTCTTCTTATTATTATTATTGCGTACCTAATCAGGCTCAAGCCCGCACAGAGAAAATCATAAGGGGGTTTATTCCTATTCCCCCTCCTCCCCCTCCCTTCCTCCTGTCCCAAAGATTGTTTTAATTCCTGCGCGTCCGACTCTGATTTGATTTCGATATGGTGTGTCGAACTCAGGTTATAAGTTCAGTCAATAATGGTGGGCAGTTCATTGAGAAGATTACGACCAGATATTTTGTTTATCGCAGGTTTTGACGTATGAAGGATAAGGGCATTCTTGGAGTATCTCCAACAGCTGATAATTGGCTATCTCGTTTTCGCACACACGTGCTTTTTGAATCATGAACTAACAACAATGGTAAATCTGTTAGCCATGTGACTTGATCACACGTGGCGAATTCAAACATGAAAAGAGAGTATGTATACATTCTCAGGGGACTGCTTAACTAATGTATTATTTGTTTCTAGGCAAGGTTTACCCCCCCCCCCCCCCCGCCATTACAGCCGCCCCCCCCCCCTTTCTACAGTTTTCACAAGAGGGGCTTATAAGCCCTCGGCCCCTTCTTCTGATCCATTTACTGCATTGCACTGGCCTTTTATCCCACAGGTCTCCGTCACTCTCCACAGGACGGCTAGCCTCCGACAGAAAGCGTCGCACAAAGCACGAACTCCGTACCTTTAGCGACAATCATAGTCATCCCTGTAATAATTGCTCTTATAACCGTACAATGCAGTCCGTGACACTATCCGACAACCTTCGAAGCGCCCGGTAAAAGGCTTAACAACTTAGCAACCGAACACGAGGGTGATTAGAGAGTAGACAAACGACTTTCTTCAGATGAAGCTGACCTTTTGGTTAAGTGAATAATACCGTGGAAAGGAAACTAGAAGAAAGTCTTTCTTTTTAATCAAGGCTGACCTTCTGTGTTTTGTCTTCCAAGTGGTTATCTGGCATGTTGTCACAGCTGGTCTAGTTCTGACTTTTCGTGATGTATACTTGTCTTTCTGGGCTGCTAAAGGCAATTAAAAAAAAAACCTTTTATAAGAATAAGTGTAAAACAAACTACATAAATCTAAATAAGATGCAAACTACATTGAGAAATAGGGTTTTCTTCTTCTTCTTCTTCTTTTTTCTTCTTCTTCTTCTTCTTCTTCTTCTTCTTCTTCTTCTTCTTCTTCTTCTTCTTCTTCTTCTTCTTCTTCTTCTTCTTCTTCTTCTTCTTCTTCTTCTTCTTCTTCTTCTTCTTCTTCTTCTTCTTTATGTCCTTTTTCATCTCATCGAGTATCTAACAAGATTTAAGGTTCTGCTTCTTGTTTTCTTTGCCGCCTTGACCACAGATACATCGCGTTGTTGTAGAGTTTCTCTGATGTTATCATTCCATATTATTCTTGGTCTACCTTGGGCTCTTTATCCTTGTCCTCTTTTGGTGTATGCCATGTATGAAACGGCGTCCCAGGGCATTTTAAGTTGTTAAAACAATTTCAATTGCCTAGAGTGGCAACTCAATGATAACGTAAACTAGCAAGCTCAACGGAGGGACGGGAAAAGACGGACACAAGCGAAACAGAACGATTCGACCACATGCTTTGTTTGTTCTATAAACCGAATTTATTGTCTTTATGATAAACCAACTTTACTGTCTTTATGATAAATTTAGTTTACTGACTGTGTGATAAACAGACTTTGTCTTCTGTATAATAATAAGACTTTGCTGTCTGTATGGAAAACAGACTTTACTATCTTATAATAAACATACTTTACTGTCTGTATGATTAAAAAGACTGTACTGCCTGTATAATAAACATACTTTGATTTCTGTATAAAAATTGACACAACTATCTTGATGATAAATATACAGACTTTACTATCTGTATGATAAACTGCCTTTACTGTCTGTGTGATTAAAAAGACTGTACTGTCTGTATAATAAACAAACTTTGCTGTCTCTATGATATAAAAAAAAATACTTTACTGCCTGTGAAATAAATAAAATAAATATACTTTGCTGTGTGTATGATAAACATACTTTATTTTCTATATGATACAAAGACCTTACTCTTTGAATAATAAACAATCTTTGCTGTCTTTATGATAAACTGACTTCACTCTCTGTTTGATAAACGGACTTTATTGTTTGCATGATAAACTGACTTTAATTTCTATATGATAAAAAGACTTTATTGTCTGTATGATAAACTGGTTTTACTGTCTGTATATGATAAACTGACTGTGTTATCGTAGTATAAGCTAAGTTTACTATATCTACATACGTAACTTTAATTTAACCAGCCTCCGTGACACTGTTACACCTGTGGTTCCAAGTATTTACCACTTTACTTCAACTAGCTTATGCTAATAAAACGGCCATGTTACCTGTCTACGTTTTAAAAGTGTTATATCATGCATAAGACACCAGAGGGCATTCACGCCATTTAACAATTTGTGTCCAAGGCAGAGATTTATTTCGTTCTTAATATGCAAAGGAGATGTACTTTAGATGCACACGATTCTGAGAGGGATGATACCAATACATAGTGGTTTATGAGAGGTTGAATTAACAATTCAGATATAGTGGATTTGTGTAACAATAATCGGGAAAAGTAGAAGGTGATAACGTATAACGTAAAAAAGGCTAGGCCTAAATTTTAAATGCCAATCGGCACAAGATGGGTGATGTGGTCAGCATCACGCCAGCCGCCTTGACTTCCCGGGACAGCACCCGGTACCCACTCAAGGCTGGGTCAACCTAAGAGTCATTGTCATTAAAAAAAAAGAAGTCTGGCTCTTCCAGGGAGAAAACTCACGACCTTCCGATCAGCAGACGATCGTCTAGCCGCTACGCCACGGCGACTCTAAAAAAATTGCAGCCTTCACCAGGGGTTGAACCAGGGACCTCCAGCACTAGAGGCGGACGCCATGTCCAGAGACCACTCTGCCTCCTAACGTATACAAGGTATATGTTTAATGACTGAATTTTGTGAAAATGTTGCCGTTCCTATTTGTGTAATTACCGTCTCTTGAGTTAATGCAACATGTAATTTTATTTTAGGGAGTCGCTAGACACTCGCGTGGGGATCGAAAGGTCGTGTGTTCGCTCCCTGGCAGAGCTAGACTTTTTTTCAAAAATGACCTTGACTGCCAGGTCGCCCCAGCCTTGAGTGGGTACCGGATGCAGTTCAAGGAAGTAAGGGTGGCCGGCGTGATGCTGACAACATCATCCATTTTGTGCCGATTGGTCTATACAAATATAGGGCCAGTCCTATATGCCCTATACGCCCAAAGGCGTATAAAAGAGACCTTTAATTTGTTATATGTCTTTTTTTTTTTCTTATGTCTTTACTTTTTTCCCGTATTACAGTTCTTTTCACAATTGATTCTACTGGTTACATTGCTCACAGTAGCAGGATGAGGCACGTTAGTATCAGGAAGTGAGATAATAAGATGTTGAACAAATTCGAATATCTGCCACTTTTAAGGAACACATGCTCATCCAAAAATACTCTTTCTTCAATAGATACTATTATGGCTAAGACCAGTAACTAAAGCACTAGTATAAAGCAGTGATATTCTAAACTAACAGTTATATGGCGCTTAAAACAAGAGGTAATAAATAAATTTAATAGCGGTGCACAAATAATTGAATTCAAAAAGCCTAGTGCTAGTGGAATGTGCTAGAAGACATCGAAAGAGTTAAATAACAATGATGATGGTGGTGGTGATAATGTAATTAAGGAGGAAGAAGTTAAAGAGAACGAAGATGAAACACAAAATAGGGGAAAACGCGAATGGAAGAAAAAATAACGAAGAACACCTAACGTCAACAGTGATTTGTATGATTGGCATTACACACAAAAAAACGAAGACAAGTGATGAAAATAACAAAAGAAGAAGAAGAAGAAGAAGAAGAAGAAGAAGAAGAAGAAGAAGAAGAAGAAGAAGAAGAAGAAGAAGAAGAAGAAGAAGAAGAAGAAGAAGAAGAAAGAAGAAGAAGAAGAGAAGAAGAAAAGAAGAAGAAAGAAGAAGAAGAAGAAGAAGAAGAAGAAGAAGAAGAAGAAGAAGAAGAAGAAGAAGAAGAAGAAGAAGAAGAAGAAGAAGAAGAAGAAGAAGAAGAAGAAGAAGAAGAAGAAGAAGAAGAAGAAGAAGAAGAAGAAGAAGAAGATGGGAAGAAGAAGAAGAAGAAGATGGGAAGAAGAAGAAGAAGAAGAAGAAGAAGAAGAAGAAGAAGAAGAAGAAGAAGAAGAAGAAGAAGAAGAAGAAGAAGAAGAAGAAGAACAACAACAACAACAACAACAACAGCCACAACAACAACAACAACAACAACAATAACAACAACACCACCATAGGAACTAGCAGAACAGCAACTAAAAGAAATATAAAAGGGGCAAAATATCATTGGTTTGAATTTACACATTATGAAACTCACTCTGTTGTCGCAAAGAAAAAGTAATTCTATGACAAGATAGCAGTCCACTGGTAAACTAACGTTAGCACTCCCAACAACAAATGTACAATGTCCTGCCCTCGCGAGTTTTTCATTTTTTTTTTTCCGCACATTCTGAGGATTTATCCACAAACATGACTTACAGATGCGCCTTGTCCCATCTCTAGTAGCTTTGTTTCAAAAGGTTGAAGTTGGCGTGAGTGAAAGTTCTTTTGTTTCGGTCAATAGAAAAAAAAAAAAAATAAGAAACTACTGAAAACACATTTCAAAAGTTCAAAACGTGTTTCTTTCCGGCAGAAAGGTTTCGGCGCAGAAGGAATTCCCCGCCCGCCCCCTCCCCCAAGCCCCCAATCCATGCGCTTTCTCACTACTTCCCCTCGTTCTCTACGTTTAGCGTATCGACCTATCTATCTATCTATCTATCTATCTATCTATCTATCTATCTATCTATCTATCTATCTATCTATCTATCTATCTATCTATCTATCTATCTATCTATCTATCTATCTATCTATCTATCTATCTATCTATCTATCTATCTATCTATCTATCTATCTATCTATCTATCTATCTATCTATCTATCTATCTATCTATCTATCTATCTATCTATCTGTCTGTCTGTCTGTCTGTCTGTCTGTCTGTCTGTCTGTCTGTCTGTCTGTCTGTCTGTCTGTCTGTCTGTCTGTCTGTCTGTCTGTCTGTCTGTCTGTCTGTCTGTCTGTCTGTCTGTCTGTCTGTCTTTTGACTCTCTACGAGGGTTTATTAAAAAGTAAAGGTAATTTTGTGCCTGGCAGTAAGAAACGAAGACTGGGTCATCTAATGCCACCACTTGTTAACTTGGAGTGACGTGGAAGTAGGATATCAATCAGAGCCCCATCAGTGGAGTGTAAAAAAAAAGTAAAGGACCCTTTTCTAAGCCATCAGGCGTATAGGGCATATAGGGAATAGACCTAGATTTTTATAGACCAATCGGCACAAGATGGGTGATGTGGTGGTCAGCATCTTGCCAGCTGCCTTTACTTCCCGGGACTGCACCCGGTACCCACTCAAAGCTGGGTCTACCTGGGAGCCAAGGTCATTTTTGAAAAAAGTCTGGCTCTACCAGGGACCGAACACACGACCTTCTGATCCGCGGCGAACGTCTAGCCGCTAGGTCACGGCGACTCACTCATTTGAGTGTCCTGGAGCAAAGAAAGGTCACAAGTGTGGACACACTATTCTATGTATGCATCTTTCAAGAACAGCACGCCGTAGTGAGGTTTCTGTGATCGGATGAGTCAAACCAGCAGACATCTATCGTCGGCTGTTAGCGAAGTATTATTGAGCAAACACCACGACTTAATAAGAGGGGTTTGAGTGAGTGGACCGATTAAAGCGGGTCGCACAAATGTAAAGGACGAAATTCGAAATAGAGCGCCGGTAGACAACTTCGTCGCCGGTTGGGACCTTATTTTGGTCTGTCTCCTTTGAGAGCAAGTGTTCTTTTCACTTGGTGGTGGGGAAGGCTAAGTT